ATTCATCCCTCAAGATCCGACCCAGCTCTGCCAAAGACTTCAGGTAACTCACCCCCTCCTTCAGCCTCAGTTTCCAAACCCAAGAATAAAATAAAATAGAATCGATCCTCTCTGGGCTGCCGGTGAGAGTTGGAAACCACTCAGCAAGATCCTGGCTTGTAACTCTGAACAAGGGCTCAAGACTCCACCTAGATACCCACAGCCCAAGGCGACTCGCCCAGTGCCGAAGTCTCCCCAAAAGCATTCCGTCACCTCTCGTCTTCAGCGATCCCAGCCCCGGCGTCTCCTCACCTCGAGACTGCGGTCAGCCAGGTTAAAAGACTCGACCCCAAACGGGTGGGAGCCGGAGACCCAACTCCTCGGACACGCGCCTCCCCGCAGCCATTTCCGTTACCGGGAGAATCTCTTCAGAGTTACTCCCCACCCAGGATCCTCCGCGCCAGCCCCAGGACCCCGTTTCCCAGAGAGCTATGCGGACGCCTTTTCTTGTCTTCCCATCTCCACCCTCTTCTTCGTCCTTAGAGGCCCCGCTGAGCACACTGGGAAATAGAGTAGAAAGAGACTCGGCATCAGGTGGCATCTGGGTATTGTAGTCCAGCTTTTGAAGGACAACCTAGTCAGTCTTCGTAGTTCATCCCTCCTTACGATTGGCTCCACGTTGGCATATGCGCAATAGAACGAGGAAGCGTTCCACAGAATGTGGAATGGGGTTGGGCGATGAGGGAATAATCCCTCCCCCAGCCGTGAGTCAGAGGGCTGGTCTGCCGCGAAGGTGCCTGGGAAATGGAGTTCTCAGGAAGGCACAGCCCGCGGGCAATTCGGAGGTCTGCGTAGGCTGCGCGGCCGCAGTTCTTCCGCGAGGGAGAGGGTGCGCGCGCAGCGCCTTCCGCCCAAGCGGAAGTTTTCGCGGGGCAACTGAGAAGGTGAGTCACAGTTCACCTGGCGGGTTCGAGGGTCTGGCTGCAAATATGTGTCTCCCCACTCCCCTCACCAAATCTAGAGGTGAGGGGAAGGAGAAGCGGAGCAGGGGGAGGTCTCTTGATACCCTAGCCAGAGTTCGGTCGTGGTGCCTGTGACGTGAGCGCGACTCTTTGTGGGAGGCGGAGCCCCTGGGAGCGGGCGTCGGGGGTCGGGATAAAAGAAGCTTCTGGTCTCCGAAATAACCTGCCGGCTCCAAGTGTCCCCAGCTTCTTCGGGCTCTTGGTGATAGGCGTGGCTACGACGGAGAGGGGCGGAGCTAATGGGGAGTTCGACAGACGCCCCGCCGTGGTACTACGTCATCCCTGGTTTCCGCGGAGGACGGGGCCGAGGCGAATCCTGTCACCTAGGTGATTAGCCCTCCTGCCCTAAGTTAGGGTCTAATCTTTAGCTCTTCCAGGAGGGGCACAGTATTTAACACATAGCAGATGTTCAGTAAGTGTTTGTTGAGTAAGTAATGAAAATGGGTGAATGAATGATAAAGACTGGCCTGAATGTTGGAGCCTTGACTCTGAGTCCTGAGCTAGCCATATGACCTTGGACCGGCGACGTCAACACTGAGACTCCCTTGTTTCTTCCATACATATTTATTGAGAGTTTAGTATAGCTGTACTTCCACGTGACGTATTAAACAGTTGCTTTCTTATTTATTAAACTTGTCTTCCCCCACTAGAATGAGCTTTGTCGGGTCAGGAGCCTTGTTTGTTTCCTTTGCTGCTGTATCCCCAGTAGCAAGCACATATTAGGAGTTCAGTGAATAATTGTTGTTGTTGTTGTTGTTTTGCGCTACGCGGGCCTCTCACTGTTGTGGCCTCTCCCGTTGCGGAGCACAGGCTCTGGACGCACAGGCTCAGCGGCCATGGCTCACGGGCCCAGCCACTCCGCGGCATGTGGGACCCTACATCGGCAGGCGGACTCTCAACCACTGCGCCACCAGGGAAGCCCAGTGAATAATTATTGAGCGAATGAGTGAATGAACAAACTTAGCACATGTTGGCTGCATAGCCAATGCTCAATAAACATTAACCATTATCTTTTTTAAAAATAAATATTTATTTATTTATTTATTTGCCTGCGTTGGGTCTTCGTTGCTGCACGCAGGCTTTCTCTAGTTGTGGCGAGCAGGGGCTACTCTTCTTTGAGGTACGCGGGCTTCTCGTTGGGTGGCTTCTCTTGTTGTGGATCAGAGGCTCTAGGCGCGCGGGCTTCAGTAGTTGTGGTTTGTGGGCTCTAGAGTGCAGTCTCAGTAGTTGCAGTGCATGGGCTTAGTTGCTCCGTGGCATATGGGATCTTCCCGGACCAGGGCTCGAACCCATGTCCCCTGCACTGGCAGGCGGATTCTTAACCACTGCGCCACCAGGGAAGTCCCAACCGTTATCTTTTACTTACATGTGCAGCAAACCTGAGTCAGCCTCTCCACCTCTTTTCACTTACAGGACACAGTTAAGATGGAGTTTCCAGCCCAGTGAGTCTGAGGGCCAGACCGTGACCCCATAAAGGTACCATCCCCTGGGACGTATGCCCCTTAAGTCCTATTCCCCACCAACAGCCTGCTCCTGCTGCATCTCCTGTGTGTTACTGCTCGCAGACTTCACTCCCAGGAGAAAGGTTATCAGTGGCGTGGCAGTGGTCCAGGCACTTACCCATTCCTAAAAGCTGTCTTTATCTGACGGCACTTGGCACCTGGGGAAATTCCACTGAGACCGCCTCAAATTTTCAAACTTTTATTTACATAAGTAACCTAGCAGTCTTGAGTGTATTAGTCAGACTAGGCTAGACCATGCTGCAGTAACAATTGACCCCCAAATCTCAGTAGATTAACCCAGACACCAGTTTCTCACTAATACAAGGTCTGGAGCAACTCTCCAGGGTAGCTGTCCTCTAGACAGTTTTGATCTTGTGGCTCCAACATCACACAAGGGTTTCTGGTTTGTCATGGCCTGAAGGGAGAAGTGATGGTGACTCTTCTAGCTTAAAAAAATGCTCACCAGTATTTATATCTTCGAAAAGCTAGGGATGTCCATTTAAATGTTATTACCAGGAAAGCAAATGATTAAGTCACATGACCAATCAGGATTACAACCTTCTTAGAGGCTAAAGAACACTTGGCGGCAGTTTTGAAATCATATGTCTTACACAACTTGTGTAAAATAACAGAAAGGCAGTTTTATGCCACAGCGTGGTTTGTGCTCTTCTGCAGGCCAAGGGGAAGAGGAACCCTTTTCTCCTCTGGTTGAGATTTCTTTCATGGGCTGTTTGGACGGCCTGTGTGTTTCAAGGGCAAGCACTGGAATTCCATGAGTTAGCACCAAGAGGAAATGGAGAGACCTGAGAGGCTCAGAACTTAGGATATGGAAAGAGAAAAGGGAGGAATAGAAACGTTAACAAATGCAAGATGATAAGTGGGATACAGGGCATGATAGGGTAATAACAACCACTAACTTAAAAGGCTTTCTGTGGGCCGGGCCCCTGTTCTTAGCAACTGATAGAAATGTATTGCATTTAGGCCACCAGCCACTCTGTCAGACAGGAATTGTTAAAAGCCCCGTTTTACCATTGGGCAGACTGAGGCACAGAGAGGTTAAGTAACATGCCCAGCAAGGAGCACATCTGGAATTCAAATCCAGGCAGCCTGGGACCAGAGCCTGTGATTTTAAGGACTCTACTGTTTGCATTCTCAACAGAAACCAGTCTTTACAGCGAATAAAGGAAAAGGTTTTAATTAGACTGAGCCAGACACAGAAAGATAAATATGGCATGATCTGACATATATGTGGAATCTAAAAAAAAATTGTCAAACTCATAGTAACAGTGAGTGGAACGGTGCTTACCAGAGGCTGTGGGGGAAAAGAGATATTGATCAAAGGGTATAAACTTCCCATTATAAGATGAATAAGTTCTGGAGACCTAATGTATAGCATGGCAGCTATAGTAAATAATAACTAATTGTATACTTGAAATTTGCTGAGAGTAGATCTCAAGTGTCCTTACCCCCCCCCACACACACACACAAATTGGAGCTATAAGAGGTGATGGATATGTTAATTAGTTTGATTGTGGTGATCGTTTCATAATGTATACTGTTAACCAGACTTTCAGAAACGGAGACTGACTGAAATAAAGAGGGATTTATTTGGGGTTTGTTAGGACTGCAGCCCAGGAGACCCAGATTCAAGAAGTACTTGAGGGCATCCTAATAAAGAAATACATATACACGTATTACAATTAAAAAAAAAAAAAGAAGCAGCAACTTGAATTGTGTTCCACTGGACTACAAATGAAGGAAGCTTCTAAAGGCAAAAACTGCAAAGCCACAATTAGTTACATTAGTTGTTTATCAAGAATTATAATTAGATGATACAGCCGCTATGGAGAACAGCATGGAGGTTCCTTAAAAAACTAAAAACAGGACTACCATGTGACCCAGCAATCCCACTACTGGGCACATACCCTGAGAAAACCATAATTCAAAAAGAGTCATGTACCACAGTGTTCATTGCAGCACTATTTACAATAGCCAGATATGGAAGCAACCTAAGTGTCCATCGACAGGTGAATGGATAAAGAAGATGTGGCACATATATGCAGTGGAATATTACTCAGCCATAAAAAGAAACAAAACTGAGTTATTTGTAGTGAGGTGGATGGACCTAGAGTCTGTCATACAGAGTGAAGTAAGTCAGAAAGAGAAAAGCAAATACCATATGCTAACACATATATATGGAATCTAAAAATAAAAAAAATGGTTCTGAAGGGGCAGGACAGGAATAAAGATGCAGACGTAGAGAATGAAATTGAGGACATGGGGAGTGGGAAGGGTAAGCCGGGATGAAGAGAGTGGCATGGACATATATACACTACCAAATGTAAAATAGATAGGTAGTGGGAAGCAGCCGCATAGCACAGGGATACCAGCTTTGTGATCACCTAGAGGGGTGGGATAGGGAGGGTGGGAGGGAGATGCAAGAGGGAGGAGATACGGGGATATATGTATATGTATAGCTGATTCACTTTGTTATGAAGCAGAAACTAACACACCATTGTAAAGCAATTATATTCCAATAAAGATGTTAAAAAAAAAAATGAAGCTGGCAAGAAGTAGGGTGTTTGTTAAGCAAGGATTGGTTGGGGTCAGAATGGTTGCATCTATACAAGGGGGAGCAGCCCTGAGACACAAGGTTCCAGGCGGCAGATGTTGTTTTAAAAATGGCTGGTGTCCTGGGGTTAGGTATAGTTCACAGAAAGTTCAAGTTCTCAGTGTCGCAGGAAAGTCCTGAGACCAGATCCTCAATGGCTGCCCAGTTCCATTTTTGTATGTCTAAACTATGATCACTCCATTATAATTTTAATTTGTCATATATACATATATGGCAAATTAGAATTATTTATATATATATACACACACATATATAAACAAGTTGTACACTTTAAATATAGACAGTTGTTATTTGTCAAAGATAAATAAATGAAAGTAAAAAGAAAAGAACTTTGTCTTGCAAGGCAAAATGAAGTCTCGAGCACAAGTTTATTTTGACTTCTATTTTGATATCCCAGCTTATAACTGGGACTGTACACTGAATCTTAGAATAAAAAACAAAATAATTTTGCTTTTTTCTTTTGCTATTTAAAATATATTCATTGGAAATGCCTATTGCACTGTCATCCCTGTTGAGTTTCTCTGCTTCATTTATGAACTAGTTTCATCCTGCTCTTACGGGCTAAGTTGTATCCCGCAAAAATTCATATTTTTAGGAAACTCTAACCCTGAGTATCTCAGAATGCATCTGTATTTGGAGATAGGGCCTTTAAAGAGGTAATTAAAGCGAGGTCTTTAGGGTGGGCCTGCTGTGGTCTGAACATTTGTGTCCCCCCGCAAAACTCATATGTTGAAATGAAATGCCCAATGTGACGGCATTAGGAGGTGGGGCCTTTGGGAGGTGGGTAGGTCGGAAGGGTGGAGCTCTCATGAATGGGATTAGTGCCCTTAAAAAGAGACCCAGAGAGTTCCCCAGCCCCTTCCTCCATGTGAGGACACAGGGTGAAGTTGTCAGTCTGTAGCCCAGAAGAGGGCCTTTACCATAACCCAGCCACGGTGGCACCTTGATCTTGGACATCCCGGTCTCCAGAACTGTGAGAAATAAACTTTTGTTGATTGTAAGCCACCCAGTAGTCTGTGATATTTTATTATAGCCACTCAAACAGACTACGATAGGCCCTAATCCAATAAGAAGAGGGGATTAGAACACAGAGGGACAACCGTGTGAGGACACAGTGAGAAGGCAGCCATCTGCAAGCCAAGGAGAGAGGCCTCAGAAGAAGCCAAACTTGCTGATACCTCGATCCCGGACTTCTAGCCTCCAAAATTGTGAGAAAATAAATTCCTGTTGTTTAAGCCACCTAGTCCATGGTATTGAGTTGTGGCTGCCCAAGCAAATGAATACACCTGCTGTATCCTCATTTGTTGTAGGCTCTATGTGTGATTTTGCCTTTGATTTTTTAAAGTATTAGGAAGTATTGCAGAAATACACAAGGCTTAGAGGATAATGTAGTGAACACCCGTTACCCCTCTAAGTTAGTCAGGATAGGGTAGGATGTGCTGTAGTAACAAGTAAACCCTGAAATCTTAGTGGCTTAATACAATGTAAGTTTATTTGCCCATCATGAGATTGCGACATGGACCAGGCAGCCCTGCTTCATCTTGTACCTATGCCATCTGGAGTATGGACCATCTGGGCCATCCCTGAAGAGGATGGGTGGACAGAGGAGGTACTTGGGCTCTTAACTGCCTCAGCTGGGAAGTAACTTCCATTCACACCCCATTGGCCAGAAGTAGCCAAAACTAGTGGCCCCAATCTCACTGCAGAGGATCCTGGGAAGTGAAGGGGAGGATGTGGATATCTGGTAAGCACTAATGGTCTCTACCTTCCCCATAACATGGTTCAAGAAATGAGCATCACAATTACAGCTGAAGACCCTCAATGCTTCCGTGATTGGAGCAGTTCTGCAGAACTTTTATTGACCTCAAGCCATTCTCATATCTTTTGTGAGTGCTGCAGTTTCACTCTGCATTTGTTCTTCTTTGTACCTGCCCTGGGCCATTAGGGAGAGACAGGTGGCTAGAGGCTGGACACGGAGCGAGAACTCACTTTTTTTCCCCCCCTTGGCCGCGGCACGTGGGATCTTAGTTCCCTGACCAGGGATCAGACCCGTGCCCCCTGCAGTGGAAGTGCAGAGTCTTAACCTCTGGACCACCAGGAAGTCCCTGAGAACTCATTTTACGAGTGGCCACTTTCTGGGAATTCCCTGGCGGTCCAGTGGTTAAGATGCTGTACTTCCACTGCAGGGGGGCACAGGTTCGATCCCTGGCCAGGGAACTAAGATCGCACATGCCGTGCAGTGCAGCCAAAAAAGAAAAAAAAAGGAGTGGCCACTTTGTGAGAGAGGGTATTCCAGGTATGATAACTTTTCTTCTTTCTGTAATCTCATCATCATGGGGAACTCAGGTGACTGCTCATCGGCAGTGGATTAAGTTTTCTTCCAGCTTCCTGTCCCCCGACCCCGCTTCTGTTTTCTAGCATGATCTCCTGTCCAGGCTGTGGCAAAGGTGTTGAAGCAACTTTCAAATTCTGCCCCTACTGCGGAAAACCTCTGCCTACAGAGGAGCACGAGGGGTCCCAGACCTTTGTCAAGCCGTCTGTGTCATCCTCCCAAGGTAAGAACCGGGGCTTTATGCTTCTCCCTTTAGGAGGGGTGATGTGTGTGCGTGCGTGTGTGCGTTTGGGAAGGAAGGACAGACACCTTTGCAGTCTGCCTGACCCTGCATGGATACCGGAGAAGCCCAGAGCTCAGGCTCTCCCCATACAGAGTTTCTTGGCATTTTATCGGGCTCGTGGCTCTGAAGTTGACAGCTCATGCATTTCTGTCTCCAGCTTGGACTCTTCCCCTGAAATCTACATTCATATATATCAGACTCCCTGCTTGACATCTATTGGATGTCCCATAAGTGTCTCCGCATGCCCAGAACTAAGCTCCTGATATGACTGCCACGCCCCACCTGCCCCTTCCATAGACTATCCCATCGAGGTAACAGCAGTTCAGCTTATTCAGTTTCTCAGACCATGGAGTCATCCTCGAGTCCTCTTTCTCTCCCACCCCATGACTGCAGCCCTCCAGCAGATCTCATCAGCTCTCCCTTTAAAAGTCAATGCCGAGGACTTCCCTGATGGCACAGTGGTTAAGAATCCACCTGCCAATGCAGGGGACACAGGTTCGATCCCTGGTCCGGGAAGATCCCACGTGCCACGGAGCGACTAAGCCCGTGTGCCGCAACTACTGAGCCTGCGCTCTAGAGCCCACAAGCCACACCTACTGAGACCATGTGCCACAACTACTGAAGGCTTTGTGCCTTAGAGCCCCGTGCTCTGCAACAAGAGAAGCCAGTGCAGTGAGAAGCCCGTGCATCACAATGAAGAGTAGCCCCCACTCGCCTCAACTAGAGAAAGCCTGTGAGCAGCAACGAAGACCCAATGCAGCCAAAAATAAATAAATAAATTTATTTTTTAAAAAACTCAATGCTGAATTGGACCACTTCCTGCCACCACCCTGATCCATCTCACCCTCACCTCACCAATATTGTAGAAGCTTTCTTCCCCTGGTCTCCCTGCTTCTTCTCTGTTCCCTGCAGCTCTCTTCAAGTGGCAGCCTGATGGACCCTGTTAAAACGAAGTCAGACCCTGTCATTCCCCTGCTCACTACCTTCCCAGGTTAAGCCTGACATGATCAGGTCCCTGTTGTCTCTCAGAGCTCATCTCCTAACCCTGGACCTCTAAGCTGTTGCACTTGCTGTTCTCTCTCTCTGGGTGGTTCTTCCCTCATCTGGTGCATGACCCCCTCTCTCACTTTATTCAGGTCTTTATGCAATTGTTGCCTGCTCAGAGAGGCCTTCCCTGACACCTCTAATTAAATTGCATCCTCCTACATGTGACAGCCCCTGTCCCCTGCCCCTGCTTTATCTTGCCTTTCAGTACTTGTAAGTATCAACTGTATTAAATATATTATTTTACTCATTTATATTGCTCCTCATCTTTAAGCTCTGTAAGGATAGAAGTTTCTCGTGGTTTGTAAGCTCTGTTGTTTGCACAGCATCCAGGACTGTGCCTGATACAGAGTTGGGTGCTGAGAAATCTTACTGATTGGTTGACTGAATGAATGAAATATCAGCAGTAGGTCCCGGCCAATGGAAAGCCCAAGCACAGATCCTACATTGGTAAATCGAAGTGGATTTGCTTATCTGAAGGCCACAGAAGGAAGTTGGCATACGTGGCAGAAAGTTCAGCAACGTTCGTTTTATCATTTAGGAGTGTGTTTGGCTGCAAGTAACAGAAAACACTACTTCAAGAGTTTAAACAAATGAGGTTTGTTTTTCTTTCTAACAAAAAGTCTGGAGGGGACAGTCCAGTGTACAGATGGTGTCCCCATGATGCCGTAAGGGACCCAGGCTCCGCCTGTCTTTCTCCTCATCCTTAGTGTATGGTTTTGGTTCCCATTCTCATTTTATATTGGAGTATAGTTGATTTACAATGTTGTGTTAGTTTCAGGTGTACAGCAAAGTAATTCAGTTATACATATAGATATCCATTCTTTTTCAGATTCTTTTCCCATATAGGTTATTACAGAATATTGAGTAGCGTTCCCTGTGCTGTACAGTAGGTCCTTGTTGATTATCTATTTATATATAGTGATGTGTATGTTAATCCCAAACTCCTAATTTATCCTTCCCCGACACATTTCCCCTTTGGTAACCGTAAGTTTGTTTTTGAAGACTGTGAATCTGTTTCTGTTTTGTAAATAAGTTCATTTGTATCATGTTTTTATATAAATTTATTTATTTATTTTTGGCTGTGTTGGGTCTTCGTTGCTGCACACGGGCTTTCTCTAGTTGCGGCAAGTGGGGGCTACTCTTCCTGTGGTGTGCGGGCTTCTCATTGGCTTGTCTTGTGGAGCTCGGGCTCTAGGCGTGCAGGCTTCGGTAGTTGTGGCACACGGCTCAGTAGTTGTGGCTCGCGGGCTCTAGAGCGCAGGCTCAGTAGTTGTGGCACACGGGCTTAGTTGCTCCACGGCATGTGGGATCTTCCCGGACCAGGGCTCGAACCCATGTCCCCTGCATTGGCAGGTGGATTCTTAACCACTGCACCACCAGGGAAGTCCTGTATCATTTTTTTTTAGATTCCACATGTGTGATACTATATGATATTTGTTTTTCTCTGTCTGACTTACTTCATTTAGTATGATAATCTCTAGGTCCATCCATCAGAGCCTGAGTCCTTAACCCCAGCCTTCCCTAATGCCAGCCTTGGGCCTCACTCATTGTTCATTCACCCAGTCATCAGGCAACAAACATACTTGGACTGCCTATTGTGTACTTAGGTGCTGTGTTTTTGTGCCCAGGGATGTAGTAACAGGTGAGATGGACCTGGTTTCTGCTCTCTCAGAGATTTTGGTGGCTGGTAAGGCAAACAGACATTGAATAAACAATTATTAGTTGAGTGCATGATAACAGAAGGGCAATGGATGGACCACAGAACACACATAAAGGAGATGTGTTTCTGGGAGGGTCAGGGAAGGCCTCCCTAGGTGGGTAATGTTTGAGCCGAGATCTAGAGATGATAAGAGTTAGCCAAGTGAAGACTGGGGGCAAGGTGAGGGGGTCGGAACAGGAATTCAGGCATCGAGGCATGGTATGGGGAAGAGCCATACATGTTGGAGAAGTAAAGAAGGACAGCTGTACTGGGGGCAGACACGTGGGGCCTTGTAGACCATGGGTAAGGAGTTTAGTAATCACTGATGTGGTGAGGAGCCATGGAAGAATTTCCGCCAAATGGGAAACACAGTATGATTTGCATTTTGAAGAGACCTCTCTGAATGCTACGTGTGGAAAGTAGATTGGAGGCATGGAAACCAGTTAGGAGGCCATTCCAGGAGTCCAGAGACCAAGTATGCCGGCTGAGGTAGTGTCAACTGAAAGAAGACTTCTGGTTTTAGTAATACGGCAGACTACATGATAAGGAAAAGTCCCTTATGGCTCAGCACATCACAAAATGCTGGATAAAATATAAAGAATATCTTTATATTCATAGGGCTGAATGGTAGGAAAGTAAGGTAATTACAGGGAAGTGAGCAATAAGATAACACAGGGACTTCCCTGGTGGTCTAGTGGTTAACAATCCGTCTTGCAATGCAGGGGACGCTGGTTCGATCCCTGGTCAGGGAACTAAGATCCCACATGCCACGGGGCAACTAAGCCCACGCACCCCAACGATAGAGCCCATGTGCTCTGGAGCCCTCACGCACGACTAGAGAGCCCGCTTGCTCTGGAGCCCCTGCGTCACAACTAGAGAGAAGCCCGCGCGCTGCAACAAAAGATCCTGCTTGCCACAACTAAGACCGAATGCAGGCAATAAATAAATAGATAAATAGGGAGGGAGGGAGGGAGAGAGAGAGAGAGACAGAGACAGAGAAAGGAAAGAAAGAAGGAAGGAAAGAAAGAAAGAAAAGGAAGAAAGGAAGGAAGAAAGAAAAGAAAGAAAAACACAGACCCATAGGGCTGAGCAAATGCTATAGGGGGTACTGGTCCTGGGCTGTGTGCTGGTCATTATGGAGTACAGGAGACAAAGCATAGGGCCTGAGCAGCACAGGGGTGAGATTGGAAACCTCCTCTAAAATCTGGGACTTTTCAGTGGTAGAAAAAATTGCTCCACAGAGAAAATATGTGGAGACATTTGTCTGTCTCAGCCTTGATTGTGAGTGAAAAATGTCCTCTCTGAGAACTCCTAACCAAGAACTCACATCCTTAACCAGTTTGGGGCCAGAATTCATACTGATCTGTGTGGCCCCCAAAAAATACAAGCAGAAAAGTTAGTATAAAGTGATGAGTGGTGGGTGCCCTCCGCCCCAGCAGAGGCAAATCTTTTCTTGTGGAACATCTTTTAAAGACAGACCTTAGACTTCCAACAGGCACATCAGCTCCCAACCAATTAACAAAGATACCAGGAAACAAGCCACTGCCAGGAGAAACACAAACTATAGAATCAGACCTGCAATGACCAGAGACCTTGGAATTAACAGACGAGAATATGTACAAAGCACATTTATTATGTTTACAGAAATAAAAGAAGTAATTGAAGGTACAGTGAAGGAACGAAAGCTAGTTAGGGTTGATTAGGCCGATTTTAAAAGAACCAAATAAAATCTCTGATGATAAAAATAAATATCATCGTGGCAATCAGAAACTCATTGGATGGTTTAAACTCCAGACTAGACACTCTCTGAAGGAGAACAGTGAACTGGAAGACAGATCTGAAGAAGTTACCTAAAGGAGACCACACTGTGATAAAGTGCTTGAGGATATAAAAGAGAGGCTAAGCCTCTCTTAGGAAAGAATAACTAAAACAAAGGAAAGTTTGTTCAGATTATTCAGGTGGTAGTAGTAAAACTTGGCTGTGAGGGTCAACGGGAAGAGAGTGGTGAATATGACCTCAGGTTTCTGGTTTAATGGTTCCTGGAAAGGACTTCTGTAACTCCAGTCTGCGTTCGGTCTTCCTTTCTCTAGGCTCAAGGAAAAGGAGGAACACCAGTTCCGAAATATCTCCCAAGAAAGTGAAATGGCCCAGCTGCGCTTCCTCTCCCCCATCATCCCTTCTCTCAGAAGGTGACAGTTCTGAATCTGAAGATACCTTCAGTACCTGTGAGAAACCCAAAGATGAGAGTTATGCTCAATATGGGGAAAAGGAGGGTCATCTGACAATGTTTGAGGCATCATGCCTCTGCTCAGGCATCACATACTCCTGCTTGGACCCTCCTCCCAGGATCCTCCCCCACCTTCCAGCCCACAGGCTCCCCCTCCAGTCCATCCCTACATGGCCAGAGGTGACCCCACCCCTCCCTGCTCACAGCCCCCTACCGTCCCCATCGCCCCACTGTCTGGGCTCTTCAGCCTGACCTCTGAGACCATGGTCTGGTTCCTCCTTTAGCTCTCACCACAACCCTGTACACAGAAAACTCACTTTTGGAAATACTTTTTAGGGTTTTCAGCTTCTGGTCTTGGCTAAGTCTGTTCCTTCAGCCCTAGGGCCTCTCCTCTTTCCAGCACTCAGGGTCAGATCTCTAGGAAGCCTTTCCTGAATGCCATAGGCTGGATCAAGTCCACCTCATCTCCCTCCAGAGCCTCTCTTTGTCCTCTTTGGGCTCCCACAGTGCCAGTGATGTCCTCATTTGAGGTCATGTCTCCTCCAGGCTCCATGTCCCTTTCTGCCTTGCTTGCTGGACTGAGAGTCCCTCGTGGACAGGGACTAGGTGGACTCATTTGTGTATGCCCTGTGCCAGCCAGTGAGCAGGGAAGGGTGAGGACCATATGCCCATCTCCTTCTTACCGGGTCTTCGGATCTCAAGTCACAGCCCTTCGGTGTCTCCTCTTTCTCCCTTGTTATTCTCTGGGCCCCACGGCCTCATCCCATCTGTGCCTTGGGTGGATGGCGGCTGGGAGGAGTGAAGCAGGGAATATCTTTTCCCGTGTCCCTATCTCACCACACCGCCCGCATTGTCTTGCCAGTCTAGGAGCCCCTCAAAGGCAGGGCCTCAGTCTAACAAATGTCTGGTCCCTCTTCATGCTCAGCACAAAACCAGGTCCTGTTTTAGGATGTTTTGGGTTGAATGTCTGGAATGGTTTTTCTTTTCCTCCCTGGCAAACTTCTACTCGTCCAATAGGACCCAACTCAAATGTCCCCTCCTCCATGAAGCCTCCCCTGACTTTTGCAGGCACAGTCAGTCTCTTTCTCATATTCCTCTGTACCGCCCTGTCTCAGACTCAGTTCTGACCAGCTGTGTCCAGGTCAGTCTCCCCCACCAAATTAGAGGCTCCCGAGGGAAGGGTCCAGATCCAACTCACGTCCAGGTCCCCGGCTTCAGCACACAGGATCCGTGAAAGGTCCGAGGAAGCTTTTGTTGAATGGACAAATGAATAAATGAACAGTATTATAAGCGCCGTCTGATTACCCACCCAACTCTTCTCTCCCAGATGCTGTCTTTTCTTTATTCTCACCATCCTCCTGCAGGGTGCTGGAGCAGATCCCCAACCTCCCAGAGCAGCCCTCAGACGACCAGGCAGAGCCCTCAGGCACTGAAGCGGAGCCGGGTGACCACCTCGCTCAAGGCTTTGCCAGAGAGGACGGTGCTGATAGACAAGAGTGGGCGGCACTGGAAGCTGAGATGCCTCCAGAGCAGGGATGGCCAGGGCATTCTCTATGAAGGTACACTCTGTCCACAGGTGGGCAGGGGCTGGGCTGGGCTGGGTCGGGCCATCTTGGAGCCAAGGCAAAGGGGAGGGAACCACTTTCTGAGAATGGAGATGGAGCCGTATCCCAGCTGCAGACCTGCCTCAAGGCAGCTTTCTCTTAGAGCTGGGACTGCAAACCTATGCACCTACAGCGGCTGGGAAGGTAGAGTAAATGAGTGCAGGAGGCTGGGAGTCAGGCGATTGGGAGTGGTGGGGACTGTGGCCAACCAAAGCGCATGTGCCCTGGATAAAGAGGACACTCTTCTCCACCGCCACCTACTGTTGTCACGTGGGAGTGCAGGCCCCGTGTGGCCAGAAGATAAGGACAGTGATCACTGTCTGTCTGTCCTGCAGAGATAGGATGGACCCTCCCTCCAAATTTGGTTTGAATGTTGAGACCGATGAGGATATGAAAGGTTTACTGCTTGCGTAATTGAGATCTCTGGTGGGGGGAGAAGCTCTGTGAGAACAAGGAAGAGCACCTAGCCCCGGTTTTTACTGTGGTTAAGGGGCAGGGCTGGGGTGAGGGTTCTGCCCGGGGCAGGGCCTCATGTGGTTTGAATCTCTGCCATCACCAAAAGAGGGAGCTCCAGGCTTTCTTATCAGTGGGATGGGAAGAAGCAGGGCTGGGCTTTAAAGTTAAACAAAACAACAGTTAAACAAAAAATGCAGCAAGACAACTTGTTACAATGAAGGAAAAAATAACTGCACTGGAAATGTTAGTATTAATCAACCTAGCATTAACTGAATGCTTACTCCAGGCCAGGCCTTGTTCTAAGCACGTTATGTGGTTTTATGAGGTTTTTTGCATTTTTTAAAATTGAGATAAAATTCATATAACATAAGATTCACCATTTTAAAGTCTACAGTTCAGTGGGTTTTAGTAGATTCACGATGGTGCGCATCCGTCACCACCATCTAGTTCCAGAGTATTTCTGTCACCCCAAAAGGAAACCCTGTACCTTTGCCAGTTACTCTCCTCCTCCTCCCCCCCCCCCCCCCAGCCCCTGGCAACCACTGATCTACTTTATGTCTCTGGATTTGCCTATTCTGGACATTTCAGGTAAATGGAGCGATACTCTCTGTGGCCTTTTTTGTCTGGCTTCTTCCCCTCAGCACGATGCTTTCAAGGTCCAACCATGTTGTCGCCTTTGTCAGAACTTCCTTCTGTTTTATGGCCGAATAAGATTGCAGGGTGTGTATATATCACATCTGGTTGATTCATTTATCAGTTGGTGGATGTTTGGACTGTGTCCACTTCGGGCCATGATGAATAATGCTGCTGTGATCGTGCGTGTACAGGTTTTCACGTGGACATATGTTTGCTTTATACTTCTTAACCCGTTTAATTCTCGTGACAGCCTCATGACGTCAGCAAGGTCATTATCCCCATTTTCTAGATAAGGAAAATGAAGCCCAGGGGTGTTAACGACTAGACAGAGATCTGGCTCCAGAGAGCTTCCAAGCTTGCAGGAAAAGCCAGAGATGGGATTTTGAGAGGAAATCTCTGATTTGGAAGCACCGGCCAGCCAGACACGGGTGCCGGCAATTTCGAGCCTCAGGTTGGCCATCCTGCCTTAGAGCCTGGGCAGGAGGGCAGGGCAGCCACATTTGAGACAGACCCAGGTGGGGACTTCCCTGGTGGTCCAGTGGCTTCCACTGCAGAGGACCTGGGTTCGATCCCTGGTCAGGGAGGTAAGATCCCATGTGCCGTGCGGTAAGGCCAAAAAAAAGAAAAAACAGACCCAGGTGGAGTCGTGACTGGGCTCTAGCACACTGAGTGAGCCTGGGCGAGCAGCTCTGCCTTGATGTCCCAGTTGGGAAAGTGAGAGGTGGTGTCCTGCCCACCTCCTGGGGCTTTGGTCCCAAATGGTGAGAAGGGACAGAGGCAATGAGCTTGGAAAACGGTAAAGGGATCTTCTCAGGCGGAGGTAGGTAGCATTAGTCATGGAGGGACAGAGGGCGAGGGAGGGAGAGAGGAGAGCATAAAGGGACACTAGGGAGCGCTCACTCCATGCCAGGCGCTGTTCTAGGGCCCATTTAATGCTCCCAGCCACGCTAGGAGGGAGGCACTCATGTTACTTCTTCTTATAGGTGGAACACAGAGAGGGGAAGCCACTCGCCCAAGGTCACACAGCCTCAAAGTGACAGAGCTGGGATTTGAACCTAGGTGTAATTCGTAACCATTACACCACAAGAGAGGGAGGGAGGGAGGGAGGAGGAGGGAATCGGGGTGAGAAGGAATGAGAGGAAGAGAAAGGATAGAGGGGCAGAACCAACAACAAGAAAGGCTGGGGAGAGAGAAGGATGGGGAGAGGCCCAGAGGACCGAGAAGGAAGAGGGAGAAGAAAGACAAACAAGGCAGGAGGCATCTGAAGGAAAAAAAAAACCAGCTGTGTCCTCACATCAGAAACCCACAGTGGAAGGTTAGGAAGGAAATGCTCTGGGCCGTGTGTCTTCACCTTTTGTGTCTCGGGTTGTTTGACCAGACCCCTTCCCAGCCCAGTGCGAGGCCCGGGTGCTGGCTCCGGCACAGTGGGGAGGGGGCTGCGTGTGGATGTGCCTCAGGGCGTCGTTACCCCAGGACAGGTTGCCTTTGGCTTCTGCCAGTTTGCACCAGTCGGGAAGATGTAGTTGAAAACAGTGAGAGTACAACAACAGCAGCAACCAGAACGGTGATTTTTATTATAGCAGCTGACGCTTCCAGCCCGCTCTGGGCGCCCACCCCCCGCTAAGTTCTCTATGTCTGTTAGCTCACCTGATTCCCATAGCAGCTGACGCTTCCAGCCCGCTCTGCGCCCCCCACCCCCACTAAGTTCTCTCTGTCTGTTAGCTCACCTGATTCCCATAGCAGCTGACACTTCCAGCCCACCCTGGGCGCCCCACCCCCCGCTAAGTTCTCTATGTCTGTTAGCTCACCTGCTTCCCATAACAGCCCTGTGAGCTGGCACGCGCTCTTACTTTGTGAAACACTGAGTTATAACGTCATCCTCCCTGGTCTCTCTGGCCCAGTTTGGGAGACCTGTCACCGAGGCAACCATGTAAATCCCTGCAGCTGCGGTATGCGTGGAGAATTGTTTCTGAGAAGCAACTGGGATTCAAGTCCTGGCCTGCCCCCCTGTGGATGGAGGTTCGGGGCTTGTATTCATTTCCTGTGGCCACCATCACAAATCACCACAGACTTAGTGGCTGAAGACAGCACACATTTATTCTCTTCTAGTTGTGGAAGTCACAAGACTGAAATCAGTCTCACGGAGCTAAAGTTAAGATATGGGCGAAGGGACTTCCCTGGTGGTCCAGCGGTTAAGACTCCGCACTTCCACCGCAGGGGGCACGGGTTCGATCCCTGGTCAGGGAACTAAGAACCTGCATGCCGCGTGGCACGGCCAAAAAAATAAAATTAAAAAAAAAAAAAGATATGGGTAGGGCTAGTCCTTCCAAGAGGCTCCAGAGGCAAATCCGTTTCCTTGCCTGTTAAGCTCCCAGAGGCCACCTGCATCCCTCGGCTTGTGGCCCCTTCCTCCATCCTCAAAGCACATCACCCCAGGCTCTGCTTCTACCATCACATCGCCTTCTCCTCTTCCGTGGTCAAATCTCCCTCTGCCTCCCTCTTTATAAGGACCCTTGTAGGATTACATTAGGGCCCCCTGGATCATCCAGGACAGTCCCCACAGCACAGGACCCTTAATTTAATCACACCTACAAAGACTCGCCATTGGTTCTCTCTACCTGCAGCCTCTTAACACGACGTATTTCTCCCAGTGGCTGCCCTGAGCCTCCCCCTGGTCCTCGGTTTCAGCTGCTCTGGGAGAATGGTTGCCTCCCTTTTCGAGGGGTCCTTTAGGGCTTGTTTTAAGTACACAGTTAACTCTCAGCCCCGGCACCCTTGGCATTCATTGTGGGGGCCGTCCTGTGCACGATAGGGTGTTTGGCAGCATCCTCGACCTTTACCCATCCTCTCTCCCAGTCCTGACAACCAAAACTGTCTCCAGACATGGCCAGATGCCCACTGGGGGGCAGAATCGCCCACGGTTGAGAACCACTGAGTCAGGCCGTCCCAGACGTGCCCTCCAAAGACAGAGAGACCCTGTCAGCTGGTAACTGTCGGGTGGAATCACTATTCTTTTATTAAGCGCCTTTCAGCTGTGCCCACAACAAAGGTTGGGCCAGAGAAGGGCAGGCCGGGCAGAGGCACGGCACAGGCAAAGACTCGGAGGCTGGAAACCCGCGCAGGAAGCGTCAGGATCCTGGTGTTGCTGACGGTGGGGCATGGGATGCCCGGAGTCCCCAGCCAGGTTTGAGGAGGCGGGAAAGCATAGGCAGACCAGTTGAGTTAGCCTTCTGCCTCTGCCGGCAGCTCGTTGTCTGATCTTCCTTGAGGGATGTCATGACCATGCGCCTCAGTTTCCTCACCTGCAAAATGGAGAGTGTGATAACACCGACCTCACGGGGTTGTCGCTGAGAGAGTTAAATGAGTAGAACGATGAGCAGGAAAATAGCAAAAGCACCGTATAAACGCTTCCTGTTGTTATTCTGGTTATGATGGATCCCAGCGCAGCATTGTTGCTCCAAGTTCAATGTCGCCTGTCTGTTGGCCATCAGAGGCTCCCACCTGCCTGCCTGCCACAGCCCTGTCTGCATTTGTCATACGTAGGGACTTTCCATACATGTATCAGGTTTGCATCAAGCAGGGGTCTCCCAGGTCGCAGGGTCTGGAGCCAGGTTTACAGCCCGGCGCTGCTGAGGCCCTCGGCCAAGCCCACTGCCCTTCCTCCTCTGTCGCTTCCTCTCTGTAATGGGAATTGCCCAGCGTCGGCGGGAGGGCCAGGGAGAAGAGTGGAGGGGAAAAGCCCTTCATAATCTGCAGAGCAGGGCAGGAAAAGCATATTTCAATTACCAGCTGTTCTGCCTGCTCCCGAGTGCCAGGCATGTGGTTCGTTGACTGGTGCTTTTCCTCGGACCCTGAGGTAACTCTGAGGCAGGTACTGTTTTTATGCCTGAGAGGTGCCCCGGCCATTTCCAGCATGCCCCTCAAAGATCCCCCCCAAACCCCCTCCGCACAGGTGGGAAGGACGCCTCTCTCCCCCAAGATCCATGATCTTTCCACATTTCCCTCCTTTAGGCTGGGCTCAGGTCACCTTTGGCCTTAAATCTGTAAGCCCTGGTTCCTGCCCGGCTCCAGCTGGAGCTTCTTGAAGGCAAGGGTGGGTTCTAGGTAGCTTTGTCACCTCCCTGCCCCTTAGCTCAGTGTCTCAGACAACACCAGCCTGGATGGTTAGGAAGGGTGGGAAAGAAGAGAGAAAAGGAAGGAGGATGCAGAGAGCTAGCTGGGATGGATGGCGATGGTTCGGTTCATGAGCTCCTGGGGGTGAGCTAGACCTAGGCCAGTGCCGCTCTGCCACCTACCAGCTGTGGGCCCTCGGCTGATTATATTTTAAAAGCTGCCACACACTGAGTGCTCCCGGAGTGCCCGGTGTGATGCTGGGCTGTGGTGGGTGCATCATTGAGCAGCTCATACAAAGGGTGAAGCTGGGGTTGTTCCCTGGCGGTCCAGTGGTTAGGACTCCATGCTTTCACTGCCAAGGGCCCAGGTTCAGTCACTGGTCAGGGAACTAAGATCCCACAAGCCACGCGGCATGGCCAAAACCAAAAACGGGTGAAGCTGGCTATGATTCCTGCTCAGCTGGTACTGTTGTTATTCCTACCGACCCCTCTGAATCCTTGCATCCAGTCTCAGGGGTGGGCTTCATTAGTCCTACTTTACTGACATGGGGCGGAGGCCCAGAGAGGTTTAGCACCTCACACCAAGTCACGGAGTTGATGGAGGGGCTGGGCTTGAGCCCAGATCTACGTGGCACAAAGCCTCCCGTGTCACTTGGCCTCAGTAAGCTTCGGCTTTCTCGTCTCGTCCGTCAAGTGGAGCTAACGGAACAGTTCTTAGAGCTTTCTGAGATGATTTTCCCAGGTTATAATCCTCAAATTTGGCTCTAATAAAATTTTCCATTTCTCTCTTAAAAAAAAAAATGGAGCTAACAACGACAGCCGCCATAATAGTAATAACAATAACATTGTATTAGACCTTCCTAGGGCTGTCCTGAGCATTAGAGGAAACAATGTGCGTAAAGCCCACACTTAGCACGGGGCAGTAGACTTTGCAGGGTTTGTAATTAAGCAGAATGGGGCAAGCATGCAGGTGTTTATGAGGAAGTGCCCCAGGGATCAGCACCTGCAGAGGGGAGGGGGAGGAAGTGGTGGGGCAGAGGGGAGACATAGAGCGCTGGAGCAGCCCAGGGATCTCGGCTGGCCCCATGGGGACTCTGGAGCAGAAGCGGTCCTTCAGTGTGGTTCTGAGTTAGGCCAACACGGCTGGGCCTTTATATCCCCCTCCATCGGCCTTTGGCTATGGGCCGCCCTGGGACTTGCAGCTGAGGGCATCCCTGAGGGACTGAAGGCTGCTGCAGTGGCCTCTCCAGGTTGCGTGGGGCTAGGGGAACAGGTCCTCCTCCAAGGGGATCTGCGTCCATCACACGGTACTTATGCATTGTTCAAAGACGGGGATATTGAATAGTATCCCCTGAGCTGAGAAGGAACTTGGAGATCGAAGAAAACGAAGTGGACAGCTCCATAAAGTCCAGTTACGAAGTTTATTGTGGGAACCTTACATATGGGTAGGACCCTGCGGACAGCGATCTGGAAGCATTTGCAGCTGCTCTCTGTGCTGCCAGAAGGGGCACAGGGGATTTAAAGGGGCCAAAGCTAAAGATAGAATCTGACTTCTAAGGGGGAGGCACGTCTGCGCCAGCAGGAGCCGGGTTTTTCCTTCCCCTGGGGGGTCTCATAACCATTATTCCTCGTGGACCGTGAACCATCTGTGTCAGCAAAAGTCATTCTTCCAGTTTTCAGAGGAAGGCTTATAGTTAATCAGGAACTTATCTGGTTTGGGTGCGTTCCTCATGCGTAGGCTAGAGCTCTGTCATGCAGAAAGGGGAGGGGGTAGGACAGTGGGCCTAAGATGACCCTGACAAGACGGAGTCGGTGTGGTTCAGCCACACACCCATATGTGCAGACAAATGCATACAGCTGCTGAGTCAGGGGCCCCAGAACCACCCCCGGGTTCAGTGATTCACTGGGGGGACCCACAGGCCTCAGCCTATAGTCATACTCATGTCATAATTTATTATAGCAGAAGGATACAGCACAGTCAGCAAAGGGATAAAGCACATGGGGTAAGTCCAGGGGAACCAGCGCCAGCTTCCAGAGTCCCCTCCCCTTGGAGTCACACGGGATGCATAACAAGGTGGGACATCACACATGAAATGCTCATTAGAGGGACGCTCATTAGAGACTCAGTGCCCAGGGTTTTTATTGGATGCTGGTCCCACAGGCACTGTCTGCCTGGCAGGCACCAAAATTCTACTCGCAGAAGGAAAGCAGGTGTTCAGCATAATGGTTTGGGCACCGGGAGCCCCTTTTATTGGTTAGGAATCCTAGAACCTTCCCAGCTGATTCGCAGACACCAGCCGAGGTTCAGCCTTGCGCGCAGGCCTTTCCGAGGAGAGCGGTCTCATGGTTAATTACCCTTTGTGCACAGCTGTGTATTAACAGAGAGAGAAAGAAAGAAGCTGTTGAAAATAGGAAGGAGCAGGTCATGAAAGTCGAGAATGCGCTTGACCCTGTTGGGAATCCGTTAACCGCAGCTGCTGCTCATTACTCTGAGGACACTGACCCTGACCTTCCCTCTAGATGATAACCTTGCTCCTTTCGTCCATCCACAGCTGAGCCAGACTCCACCTTTGACTGCGAGTCAAGTCTCCGAAAACAAAGATTCTCACTTAAACTAGTGAGTGGCCCCGGGGGGAGAGGCACTGAGGGGATGGCCTGGGGCTTTAGCAAATGCACCACTGACCTCCAAGCCCCTCTGTGGGCTGGGCAAGCCGGAGAGCACAGCCTTGGCCTTTGAGGAGCAGTGGGACCTTGGGTGGGGCACGTTTCCCTCTGGGCCTTGGGTTCTTCTACATGGGGCCCCTCAGAAACCGCAGTCGGGTCCACCCATGAGCCCTGGCTCTGATGCTTTCTGGCTGTGTGTCTGGGCAAGTGCCCGAAACCTGGGACGGCTGGGTTGGGTGCCCTCCCTTGGCCCTAGATGGAGGCCGTGTGAGTGGTTCAGAGCCAGTGCTCCTGAACCAGGCTCGCAGATGAGTGATAGCACCTGCTTGCTGAGAGCCTGTCCTGCGCCCAACCCTGGGCTAAGAGTTTCATAATCAAACCTGTGGGGTGGTTACTGTGTTTCTCATTTAACAGATGAGGAAATAAAGGCTCCGTCGCTTGCCCAGGGACGCCCATTATGAAAATTGCTTTGTTCACTGCTGTATTGACAATGCCCAGAACAATACTAGGCACATAATAGGTGCTTTATAGAAAGAATGAGTGAATGGCAGAGCTGAGATTTGAACCCAGTTCTTTTTGACCCTGTGCCCTGAAGAACCCAGCTGTACTAGTTGTGTTTAATTAAAATATTTGGTTTGACTGCTTGGGAAAAAATGACCCAATGTTAGTTATGGCTTAAACAAGTATATTTTATTGCTTTTCCATTTAACAGTCTGGGGGCAGTGGTCCAGGGCTGATATGATAGTTCCATAAACCAGGGGCTTACTTTCCTTCTCTCTTGTTGCTCCAGGCCTCTCAATCTATAAGGTTCATCTCATGGGCTGAGATGGCTGCTCCACCTCCTACCATCTCATCTGCATTCCAGCCAATTGGAACTGGAAAAGAGGAAGGGGCGTGCCTGCCCTAGCCCTTTAAGGGCATGGCATAACCTGGAAGTTGCCCGAGTCTCATCTGCTCACGTCCCCATTGGCCAGAACTTGGTCATGTGGGCATTCCTCACTGCAAGGGAGACTGGGAAATGTAGTTTTTAGCTGAAGGGCATGTGTCTAGGGAAAACTTGTAGATCCTATTGTAAAAGTAAAGGAACCTGGGCAGTGACTCAAAGTCTCTGATATATGTTCACATGGAGCACCCTAGGGAATTTGGTTCTGATGTGCAGGACTTGGGGAACCTGGGTTATTGCTGGCATTACCCTGGGGTAATCCATGGCCAGTGATGACCTTGGAGCCCTTGCCTAAGAGATTCCAGTGTGACAGCCTTTTCCCCTCTCCTCCTCCACTAGGATGCCAAGGACGGGCGCTTGTTCAACGAGCAGAACTTCTTCCAGCGGGCCGCCAAGCCTTTGCAAGGTATTCCTCAGGGAAGTGGGCAAGTGGGGGAAGAGTTGGGGGTACCGGCTTGGTCAAAACAACTGGCTTCTCGCTGAAGGTGTGGGAAGGGTGGGGATTAAATTAAAGGCCCAGGTTTGCTCCCATCACCCCTCGGGCCTCAGGCCCCAGAGGACAGACAGCGGACAATGGGCTGAGGCTGGCTTGTCATTACCAGCTCTTGAGTGCCAAGTATTAAATTTTCACAAATACTGCAAGCCAGTTATTAAAACATAGCCATCGGACTTCCCTGGTGGTCCAGTGGGTAAAACTCCGTGCTCCCAACGCAGGGGGCCTGGGTTCAGTCCCTGGTCAGAGAACTAGATCCCGCATGCCACAACGAAGATCCTGCGTGCTGCAACTAAGACCCAGCACAGCCAAATAAATAAATAAATCATTTTTAAAATAATAAAATTGCCCTGCAAGCTTTCAGTCATAGCCATCTTAAATAAATAAATAAAACATAGTCATCATAAATTTTATCAATTTACAGTCAAATTAAGAGCAAGGGTAATAAATACTCAAAGCTCATCCCTTCCTAATTATTTGTCTACATTTTCTATCATCTAGACTGTTTTTTTTTTTTTTTGGCCACGCCTCTTGGCATGTGGGATCTTAGTTCCCCGACCAGGAATTGAACCCATGCCCCCTGCAGCGGAAGCGCAGAGTCCTAACCACTGGACCGCCAGGGAAGTCCCTACTATCTATATTCTTGAGGTTGTTTACATTCACTGTATCTGTGTGGTGGAAATACCATGTAAGGGCATGCTACTGCCTCTCTTTCCACCTCAGTCTTCCATGATACCACATTGGTAGCTTGAAACTGGCCATACTGGGAAGTATTTACACCACAGAAATCAGCAAACACGACAGATCAAAGCTATCTTTCCCCAGACAACCAGCTGTTATCTTTTATCAGCACACCGCTGGATCTGTACCATCCAACTGAGATCCTGGAAGGTGGGCGGACATGTAGTGACACCTTGACCAGTTTAGACACTCCCCAATCTCATTAGCTCTACATGGGAATTCAGAGGTTACGCTGTCGCTCTTACCGCTTCCACTCACTCCAGATTTGTCAGTGCTTTCTCCCATGTTCACACCCCCTATCGTCACCCGCCTCGCTGTCATGCACCCACAGAGGCGACATCACCAACCAGGAGACCCAGTGTGTGGCCTGCGCTCGGGCGCGCTCTGCTTCTGGTCTGGGAACGGGCTGCTGTCCATTGTGGGTGCAGGGCCAGGTGGGCCCTAACCTCTCAGGCCCCTGCCTCCCACAGTGAACAAGTGGAAAAAGCTGCACCCGACCCCCCAGCTGGCCATCCCCACCTGCGTCGGTTTTGGCATTCACCAGAACAAGTACAGGTGAGTCACTTCACTTGCCACTCGCCTCACTGGCCCCTTCCTTTCTCTCCCTGTCACATGCCCAGGCATGGCTGGGACCCTGGAGCCATTGGCCAGATAGTTGCTTCCTTCCTTCCCCCAGCCTTGAGGCAGGCTGGTCCCCCACCAATCCGAGCCCTTCATCTCACCCAGGACCGGGATCTGGTAGCCCCCAGCCACACCCCATCCTTGGTGGCTTGTATTCCATCCCCTCCCCTAGTCATCTCTCCCACTTGCTGGGACACTCATGTCTTCCAGGTTCTTGGTGTTCCCCATCCTGGGGAGGAGCCTTCAGTCAATCCTGGATGACTACCCGAAGCATGTGATGTCAGTGAGGTCTGTGTTCCAGATGGCCTGCCGGCTGGTAAGTCCCTGAGAGTTGCAGGCTCCCATCCAGAGGATGGCCCCCCGGGTCCTAGTTTATCCATCTGTTTGCTCATTGACACGTTCAGCCCGCACCTCCCTCTGCTGGGCACTGGGGCGAGCACGGTGACCAACACAGCTGAACACCAGGCTGTTAGAACCAGAGTGATAAGTGGGACTTCCCTGGCGGTCCAGTGGCTAAGACCCTGCACTTCCAGTGCAGGGGGCGCAGGTTCAATCCCTGGTTGGGGCACTAAGATCCTGCATGCCATGCAACGCGGCCAGAAAAAAAAAACAGAGTGATAAGTATTGTCAGGAGACCATAGCAGTTGGAGGAAGGGTCCCAGCCTAAATTGAGGGGTTCAGTTGAACTTCCTGGTAGAGGTCATTTCTAAGTCAAGAGTGGGATATAGCAAGGTGCTGGGTAGAGTAGGAGTGGAGATGCATGGGAGAACATTCCAGGCCAAGGATATAGCTTAGGCAAAGGCTGGTGTGGGAGAGAGAGCACAAGACTTTTGTTCATTCATTCCTTCCTTCATCCATCATTTCATTAAATATTTATCAGGTCCCTGCTGGGAATCAGACACTGTCCCAGGGGCTGAGAGTACCATGGGGGGCAGCACAGTCATGGTTTTTATGTCTAGTGGGAGAGGATGATATTAAATCACAGTTGCACAAATTGTGAAAAGTGCTTTGACTAGAAGTGATGGAGCATAAGAGGACCCAGTGTAAATTGCTGGAGGGATGGAAGTGGCAAGGGAGTGACACATCAGGTGAGTCCCGAAGGTCATTACGCTCAGAGTGTCTGCAGTGTGACGTGTAGAGGGGAAAGGTAACAGCTGAGGTTGGTGTGGAGAGCTCAGCAGTGACCAGATCACGCAGGACCTTGAACACCAACCTGGGGGACCGGGACTCTGTCCCGAGGGCGCTGGGGAGCCACGCGAGGATTGGGAATAGGGGAAGGGCAGGGTCAGCTCTGGGTGTAGAAAGACCCTGTGGGCGGTGTGGGGATGGGCCGGAGGGGTGAGATGGAGGCTGGGTGAGGTCAGCACAGAGAGGACCAGGCCTGAGGAGGAGCTGGGCTGTGGGGATGGAGAGTTTGAACAAGCAGAACTTGGTGGGCAGTAGAGCCTTGGAGTCGACGGGGGCTTGGGTTGTAATCAAGATGTAAGGAGTACCTGGGCAGTTCAATATATGAGCTCAATGGAAAAGTCAGAGCTAGAGATCAGAATATAAATTACTTAGCTAAATGTATTTCTGCTCCCTAGGGCAAATGAGAAAAAACCTCTTTGATGTACATGAGTGCTGGGTTTTCTTTCTTGCGGGGGGTCAATAAGTAACCAGCTTCTTCCCCTCCTGAGATCAGCTAAGAGATAGGCATAAGAGGTCAATGGAAAACCAAATATCAGCTTTAATGCTGAATTTTTCAAAAACCTAATTAGAAGACATGCTGAGGTGTGCTGTCAGGGTGGGCTTCCTGATGCTTCACTTAGGAGTAGTCAGGCTTGGACCACCACCGCCGCCACCACAGCAGCACCACGTGACCCCAGGCCCAACAGTGGGGGTTCCCTCCGGAGCTTTGCATCAGAGCCTCTTTGTGTTAGCCTGCTGCTCATGGAGATGCTTGCTTTCTTCCCCCCAGCTGGATGCCCTGGAGTTCCTCCATGAGAATGAGTATGTTCACGGCAATGTGACAGCTGACAATATCTTTGTGAATCCAGAGGACTTGTGCCAGGTAATAGCCAGGTCCTCCTCCATCCTGGGGGCTCTCTGGGCTCAGGATCTCACCTGTCTCAAAACCTGCGTTTATTTCACAATGCTTATTGCAGACAAAGAATTGCTATCCATCATGTATAAAGAGTTCCTTCAAATAAATAAGAAGAGATAAGTGACTTAGTAGAAAAATAGACAAAGGATAGGAAAAGCAGTTCGTAGAAAAAGAAATCCACAGGTTAAATGTATGAAAAGATGCTTAACCTCCCTAATAGTCACAGCAATTACTCTTAAAATACACTATTTTTACCCTTTGGGTGGACAAAATTAAAAAGAAAAATAATATCTCCTGCTGATAAGGATGTAAGGAACTAGGAATTCTTTACATACTATTGGAAGTATGAAATGGGCAACCTTTTTGGAAGGTAATTTGAATATAGCAGTCAAAATTCAAATGCATATGTTTTTTGATCTACTGGGTCCACTTTTAGGAACGTATCTTATCCATATATTCGAAGATACATGTACAAAATGTTCCTGACAACACTGATTGTGACAGTAAAATTGGAAAACCTCAAATATATACTCCCAGTAGAGTACTAATTAGTATTTTAAAGTAAATTCTAATTACTCCTGCTAATGACAGAAACCCAATTTAACATGCCTTAAGCAAAAACGAAAAAGGAAAAAAAGTTTAAAAAGGGCCAAGTGCAATTTATTGCTCCATGGAGTGGAAAAATCTAGGACTTCACTGGCTTCAAGCATGGCTGAATCTAAGAACTCAGACCCAGTCATTGGGAAGCTGGGTCTTCCATTTCTGGGCTCTTCTTGTGTTTGCATTGCTCATAATCAGGCAAACTGTCTTCCCTGTGGTGACAAAATAACCACCAGCAAATGAGGCTCGAATCCCCTCAGTTTAGCAACCCCAGTGGAAATAGATCAGGTGAGCCCCACCTCAGACACATGGACTGAGAATTGGAGAGGGGTGATCCCAGAGAAAAACCCTGGAACCATACTGGTCAGAGCTGTCTAAAGAAACAGAACCAATAGAATGTGTATGTGTGTGTGTGTGTGCGCGTATATATATAAGGGAGAGAGAGAAAGAGATTTATTATAAGGAGCTGCCCCAAACAATTATGGAAGCTGATCTAGGGACCTCGATCTGCAGTCGGCAGGCTGGAGACTGGGAGAGCTGATAATGTGTCTCGTCAGATCCAAAGGCCTGGAAACTAGAAGAGGTGATTGTGTGATTTCCAGTCTGAAAGCTGGCAGGCCCGAGACCCAAGAAGAGCCAATATTTCTGTTCAAATCTAAAGGCAAGAGAAGGCTGATGTTCGGCTCATGTGGTCAGGCAGGAGGCATTCATTCCCTTTCACTCAGCCTTTGTGTTCTATTCAACTGATTGGGTGAGGCCCATGCACACTAGAGAGGGCAGTCTGTTTTATTCAGCCTACTGATTTAAATATTCATCTCATCCAGACACACCCTCACAGACACACCCAGAATAACCTTTGGCTACATGTCTGGGTACCCTGTGGCCCAGTCAGGCTGACACATAAAGTTAACCATCACAAACTGTGACCAGAAGAAAAAGATGTAGGCCTCACATGGACAAAGCCAACAGTTGTCTACTCTCCATTCGGCAGAATAAGATGCAGCCATTAGGGACTTCCCTGGTGGCGCAGTGGTTAAGAATCCGCCTGCCAATGCAGGGGACACGGGTTTGAGCCCTGGTCCGGGAAGATCCCACATGCCGTGGAGCAGTTAAGCCTGTGCGCCACAACTACTGAGCCTGCGTGCCTAGAGCCCGTGCTCTGCAACAAGAGAAGCCACTGCAGTGAGAAGCCGTGCGCTACAGTGAAGAGTAGCCCCCGCGCGCCACAACTAGAGAGAAAGCCCGCGCGCAACGAAGACCCAACGCAGACATTAATTAATTAATTAAATTTTCTTTTAAATGCAGCCATTAAAAAGCTGATGTGGCTAACTTTGTGTGTCTAGTAGATAAGGGCTTTTTGTTTTAAACTCAGTTAAGCCTCCTAACAGCCCTGCAAGGTGAGGACTGTCATATCTTCATTTTACAAATGGAGGAATCAAAGCACAGAGACGTTTCATAATTTGTCCAAAGTTGTATGGCCACTAAAGGGCCAAGCTGGCATTGGAACCTGGCCTGTCTGGCTCTAGAGTTAATACACTGTTGAAGTGCAGTAAGCTGTGTGTCCAGCAGGAGGTAGAGTGTGATCCATGTGTGGGAAACTAGAGCCCCCTCCCGGACCACATGTGTTTACTGATTATTTAAAGAAAATGATTTGAAATAACGCATAAGAATCTATATTAGTGGTTACTTCTGGACAGTGGGTTTAGGGGGGCTGAGCAGTGATGGGGACAGTTAGTTTGTGTTCTTTTCACACCCTTGCGTACTGTTTGGCATTATGTTTCAAATTGCACCCACGATTGAAGTCTCTGACTCCAGGATCCAAGCTCCTAACCTTCAAACTGTATGGCTTCTCCCCACGTCCACACAGGTGACCCTGGCAGGCTACGGCTTCACCTTCCGCTATTCGCCAGGTGGCAGACACGTGGCCTACAACGAAGGCAGCAGGAGCCCACATGAGGGGGACCTTGAGTTCATTAGCATGGACCTGCACAAGGGATGTGGTAAGAGGCCAGAGAAGGGATTCGGGACCATGGAGACATGCTTCTCGGACAAGGGCAGTTGTAGGTTTTCACAGCCACGGACAGCAGATGGCCAAACACAGGAGTCAGGCTGAGCCAGGGAGCCACAGTAGGGATTCAGGACCATGGATAGCGCCCACACACACACATGAGGTCATCGTGGGGCAGTAGTCCAGCGCCAAGGGCAGTGAGCAGTTGACTGCAAGGAAGCCCTGCGGCTCCAGAGGTTCACATTCAGGATCTCTGTAGACTTGGAACGTGAGAGTTGCCCAGGAGTCATCTAGGAGGGGCTGTTGAGTAAGCAGTTGGCTGTCCACGTCAGCAGCACAGGAGCGAGGTCTGGATGGAGACTCAGATGTCAGCAGTATCTCAGGAGTTGTCAGTTGAAGCCCAGGGATGGGAATGAAATTATCCAAGGAAGGTGTATGGGGAGAGAAGAGAGCACTCTGAGAAGAAGATTCCTTGAGGAGGTCTCGGCCTCTCCTTTCCCAACCCCTTGATATGACCATCCATGTACCTGCCCGCACCCTCCCACTACACTAAGCTCCCCCAGGGAAGTGATGGTACCTGTGCCTCCAGCACCAAAGGGCAAAGGTCTGGCACAGTCAACTCTCAGTGTTTGTTGAATGCTTATATGGAGTGTTGTCTACATCGTGTGATTTAGGAAGCATAAGAAAAATCATGCTGCTGTCTCCTTTGCCTTCCCCTACTGAGTGAGGCTGAGTTCAATGCCCATCGTTCCGCGTTCCCTCATGCGCCGTTCTGTCTCCTCTATAACCCAGATGATCCCACGCTATAACTGTCTCTCCACTGGACTGTCAAGGGCTGGGACCCAACCAAACTCTTATCTGTCTTTTAAGAATGTGGGAAGGGGCCTGGCACACAGGGCTCTGAGGACTCATTGAATAAATAGGTGCATGAATGAAAGACAAGTAGATGAGGGAGTGAGCTAGTGAAAGCGGGGATGAAGGGATGGCTGAGGGAGTGAATGAGTAATCGAGAGACCCATGAGGGACTGAGAGTAGGTGAGTGAGAAGTGAATGAACAGATGAGAGCCTGTATGTTTGGGTGGCTGAGTGTGTGAGCCCATGCTTGAGTCCGTGAGAGAAAGGAAGGGGGGGGGCGTGTCAGTGAGCAGGACATCTGGACTGAGCCGCCACCTCCTCCCCTCCCTCCCCAGGGCCCTCCCGCCGCAGTGACCTCCAGACCCTGGGCTACTGTCTGCTGAAGTGGCTCTATGGGACCCTGCCATGGACGAACTGCCTTCCCAACACCGAGGATATCATGAAGCTGAAACAGAAGTGAGTCTGGGGGTCAGCAGAGCCCATCACTGCCCAGCACCCCTGCAGGGGGGACTGAAGCTCAGAACCCAATAGGGAACAGAAAAGAGGGGGAGGCGGCATCTGGCAGGATCAAGGCCTCTGCAGTTCTCGGGCATCTGCTTTACCGTCCATTCCAGCAGACAGGAGCGTGGGATCTGGAGCCACACTGCCTGGGGTCAGACTCCAGCCCCACTGCTGCAGGGTGTTGGGTGAGCAGCTTAACCTCCACAAGCCTCAGTGTCCTCCGTCAGGTGGGATCCTATTAGCACCCACCTCAGGGGGCTGTGGAAGGATTCGGGGGAGTCAGGTACGCAGCACTCAGCACAGAGCCTGGCCTGTAGAAAATGCTCACAGTGTACAGGACACCATGAGTCATTCACTCCCACGGGGACCCACAGGCAACCTGAACATTTTGGCCTGGGCCCTGCCTCGGCATCTGGCAACACTGGCCTCTTTTACATGCTTCCATCCCCTCTGCATGTAAAAGCGCCGGGTCCTGCTGGTTCTGTTTTAGATGCTCAGCACCAAGGACAGAGGGCACCTCGGTGCCAAGGGAGGTGCTGCTGAGTGCGCGGTTCAGCACCAAGGACAGAGGGCAGCTGGGCTCAGAGGGAAGCAAGCACAGGGGCTTTGGTCTTCAGCACCAAGGACAGTAGACGGCTAGATACAGGGAAGCTCTGCAGGTCCACACGTTGGGATTCAAGATCTGGTATAGGCTTGGGGCATGAGAGTTGCCCCAAGAGGAGTCATCCAGGAGGGGCCATCCAGGAGATGGTTGGCTCTCCCATCTGAAGTGCAGGAATGAAGTCCAGACGGAGCCTTAGACCCCAGCAATGTCTCAGGAATTGTCAGCAGAGGCCCTGGGAGAGGATGAGAGATTATCCAGGAAAAGTGTGCAGAGTGGGAAGAGGGAAAACTCTCGAGTGAACAGCATTGAGTCTGTCGTACTTTTCAGTTCTCAGTATGCTGTGTTGTTGGTTCCTGTTGAGCCTCTGTCTCATTTTATTTTGCCCCCTTTATTATCCCCCAACTCCCTTCTCTCAACTGTGGACACACATACTTGCTGAATATATGTCCTACCGATATGCTTGCGTAAATGTACTTGTATCCTTAAACTTGCATGACGGTGGTGGCACTGTGTGTATTTGACTTGCATAAATGGTATTCTGTTCTGAATCTCACCTGTTTCTGGCTTTTTTCACTCAACACTTTAACCCCATCATTACACGTGCATCAACTTTACCGCTTCTGACTACTGCTCTCAGATAAGTTTGTATAGACACGTCTGTGTCCTTAAACAACATATGATGAGTGTGTTTAACTTGCATAAATGGTACTGTGCTCTGAATTTCATTCTCTTTCTTTCTTTCACTCAATGCTTTATTTTTTAAACTTTACATTGTTAAAGAAGCTCAGTGCTTCTCCTCAATTAATTTTAGGTGTAGCTGTGTCCTTGAAAAATATGTTGTGTTTGAAATGTGTTATGTTTGATTTATGCTGATCGAACGCACACCCAGATGCCATGCCCCAAATCTCACCCTCCTTCAGGTTTCGGCTTAGTCGTCAGTCCCCGGGGAGCCCTTCCCTCGCCCCCACTGCATCAGGTCTCCTGCTTGTTCACGCTCAGAGGAAGGGACGCCTGTCAACGTTGGCCTGCCCGTAATGACCTGTTCAAGGCTGACCTTTATTGTATACTTTCCTGTGCCGGGCAGTGTGCCCAATGCTCCCCTGTGTCATCCTCAGAGCAGCTCTGAGGCAAGTGCTCTCAAGATCTGAAAGCACAGAGAGCTTAGGTAATCAGCCTGGGTCACACAGCTGATTAGAGTTGCTCCCAGGTCATTTGACTCCAGAGGAGGCCCTTTCACCTGGAAGCTAGTGTCTCCCAAGTATGGGCGGCCCATCGCACGTGGCTTGGTGGTGTTTGGTTGTTACCATCCTCCACTCACCAAATACTCAGTGAGCACCTCCCATGCACCAGGCTCTATTCCAGGGCCTGGGGATACAGGAGTAACTAAGGACAAACATCCCTGCCCTCAGGGAACTCACATTCTAATGGGGGAGATAGACAGTACAGAGATCGTGAAACACACAGCATGGCAGAGGTCAGGCGGTGGGGGCCATCGGGTCGGAACCCTGGGTAGCCATCAGGGGGGCTGTCAGGGTGTGGGCATGCCTGCTCTTTTAGATTTAAAGGCCAGGGCAGGTCTCATGGCAGTGGTGACAGATGAATCACCTCCAGAAAGGCAGTGAGGCAAGTAGGAGGTCCCACTTCGGTGCTAATATGCCCCAACATCTCTGCTGAAGGACGAAGAGACAGAGAAAGAGAGAGCAGCCTTCAGCTCCCAGGTTTCCTCTGCATCAGAACCTGCCAGAACATGAGCCCATTTCCCTGCTTTCTTCATTTCTTTCTGCACTTATTTTCTGGTTTTCCAGTAGTTTTCCATTTTTGCATTGAAGTCAGGTGAAAACGAGTCACAGAATTAGCAACACAAGTAGTCGGAGCCCACAGCCCAGCCGCTAAAGCGGTTAAGTGAGGCTGAAGTTTGTGAACTGCTCCTTGAAGCGCTCTGCTGTGTTAGTGACGAGGCTGAGTTGCTCTTACGAGGAGACCCCGAAAGACTGCGGCCCAAACGAGGTAGATCTTTACTTCCTTCTCACTAACAGCCCCAAGGTAGGAGACCAAGGGTTGTGGGGTACCTCGGCCCCCCTCATACTGGGTGCGAGCTCTAGTGCCACTGACACCCGTTGCTTTTAGAGGGCAGGACCGGAATTGACATGTCTCTTGGTCACGTGGCCACCCCAAGCTGCAGTGGGGGCTGGGAAATGTCTCCAGCCTGTGGCTGCCGACCCCTGGGATTCTGCCATCACAGGGGAGAAGTGACACTGGGCGCCAGGTAGCGGACCCCTCCGCAGTGCCCCCTTTAGTCGGATTTCTCTGAAGGCAGGGACCGCGTCAGCTCTCTTGTCACTGTGTTGTTCGCAGTACAGCGCTTGGCACGTTGTGGGTGCTCATGAGATAGTTGCAGGATGGATGAACGACTAAGGAAAGAAGGCGTGAACCTTCTTCACACCAGGCCTGGGCTTCCGTGTGGGCACACGGGTCAGGCAGAGGCAGCCCCAGCCTTGGAGGTTCCCAGGCCGGGAGGAGACGCGCAGGCAGGAAGTGAGCGGTGCCTGTGAGGGTGGAGGCAGCCCCGGGGCATTTTGGGAGCAGAGGGGAGGCACGTGACCTGGCCTCGGGCCCCTGGGAGCCCTTACCCAAGAGCCGCCTGACCCGGTCTGCCGAGGAGTTTCCCAGGCAGACAAAGGGGAGGCAAGATTTCTGGATAGACAGCATGTCACATGTGTGAACTCTCTGTTCGTTCATTCGTGCATTCTGAACCTGCTTCCTGAGGCTCCACTGGGTTGGATCCTCCCTCCGCCTACCTCCTCTAACTCCTAAGAACAGTCGTATCTCCCTTTTCACCGCTCTCCCACCTTCCCCTTCACAGGAGTTAAACAAATGTGACTGTGACATGCTTCACTAAGAGGCTCCGCCCTTGCCAAGTCGGACGCAGAGTAAATAAAATAGGTCTTAGTAATCACTTTCATATCAATGACTTCAGAATAAGTAAGAGTTCCTTCCAGAACCCCAGTTCCCAGCCACGATCACAGAGGGAGGGCGGGGAACATGAAGATACTCCACAGGGAGCATCAGTGTTGATGTGGGACTCATTCTAAACACCCCCAGCCCAGCCTCTGTCGGTTGACTTGAGGCAGTAACCAAAGGGCCCACAAGGGGGCAGTGTTGCCACATGCACGTTTTCCGGAGCCCTAGCCTGTCCTCTCCGACGTCTTACTGGTGTGCGTGGCTTTTTTCCATTCACTCAGCAAATATGTATTCATTTTTTTGAAAGTTCTAGTTCATGACAGAATGAATGAATAAAAGAAAGAGGAGAGGCAATTTGATTCCCCATGGCTTTCTGTTGTGCAAGGCCCCCAGCAGGGAAAGCACAGACTCCGGTTGCAGTTGGTCCCTGCTCTCAAGGCTGCCACTGGGCGGGGAGGTCCCACGAACACAGTGACAGCCTGTGATGGGAGAATTGCTCACACAATTTACAATGTCCTGAGGCTGGCACAGCCCGTTTCTGCCATCACTCGCTCGCTCAGTCATTTACCACATACATCCTGAGGCTGCTGGGGAGAGACAAGGGTCAGACCCAGCCCTTCTTGTGCACATATGAGAGTTGCTGTAGGGGATCCGTGGACCTATGCGCAGGGTGTGCAGACACTCGGCAGGGATCTGTTTCCTCAACCTGCAGGGGTCCAGGGGAAGCTTCCACGGTACCAGCCCTCAAGCCATGTCCAGAAGGGAGAGCAGCCACTCACGGGGGGTCAAGGTGGGGAAAGGCTGCCAAAGGCAGAGGAGCAATATGTATAGAGGCCAGGGGATGTGGGTGGATGTGTGACCTGGTTGGGCTAGAAGGAGTTTGGTGTGACTGGAGTATGAGATGTAGGGAGGAAGCCAGGGAGGCAAAGCCACAGGGGCTGGTGTCTTTGCTGCCAGAGGTTTCCCAACAGGGCACTGGGGAACCACAGGAGGGCTGCGAGCAGGGAGGGGCAGGGTCCACTCTGGGCATAGAAAGACTCTCTGGGGCTGTGTGGGGGGGGGGTGCATGGAAAGCTAGGGAGGAAGCTGGGGTCCAGGGAGAAAGGGTGAGGCCTGAGCTGGGCTTAGAGCCATGGACAGAGCGGGGAATGGGGCAGAGAGTGCTAGGGAGCAGGAGGGTGGGGCTTGGGGACTTGTGGGCTGTGGGGCGGGGAAGGGGAGGACAGCACCCCATGCCTGGGTGGACAGTGGGGAGCCAGCCCGGTGGTGCAGGCCAGAGGAGGATACAGGAGGCCAGAACTCTGAGGATGGAGCCAAGGAAGTGGATGAACTTTCATTTCTCTTTCTTGCTTTTTTTTTTTAATTGAGGTAGGTTTACAATAGCATGTTAGTTGTTTTTTTTTTAAATAAATTTATTTTATTTATTTATTTTTGACTGCGTTGGGTCTTTGTGGCCGCATGCGGGCTTTTTCTAGTTGCGGAGAGCAGGGCTACTCCTCGTTGCAGTGTGCGGGCTTCTCATTGCGGTGGCTTCTCTTGTTGCGGAGCACGGGCTTTAGGTGCGCGGGCTTCAGTAGTTGTGGCACGAGGGCTCAGCTGTCGTGGCTCACAGGTTCTAGAGCGCAGGCTCAATAGTTGTGGCGCACGGGCTTAGTTGCTCCGTGGCATGTGGGATCTTCCCGGACCAGGGCTCGAACCCGTGTCTCCTGCATTGGCAGGAGGGTTCTTAACCGCTGTGCCACCAGGAAGGTCCCCAGCATGTTAGTTTCATTATACAGCACAGTAATTCAGTTATATGTATATGGATATATATATGAATATATATATATTCTATTTCAGATTCTTTTCCCTTATAGATTATTACAAAATATTGAGTAGAGTTTCCTGTGCTATACAGTAGGTCCTTGTTGGTTATCTTTTTTTTTTTTTTTTTTTTTTTGCGGTACGCGGGCCTCTCACTGTTGCGGAGCACAGGCTCCGGACGCGCAGGCTCAGCCGCTCCGCGGCATGTGGGATCTTCCCAGACCGGGGCACGAACCCATGTCCCCTGCATCGGCAGGCAGACTCTCAACCACTGCGCCACCAGGGAAGCCCTGGTTATCTATTTTATATATAGTAGTGTGTATATGTTAATCCCAACCTCCTAGTTTATCCCTCCCCCACAACTTTCATTTTTCTTGAGTGGTCCAAGAGGGTGTGTGTGTGTGTGTGTGTGTGTGTGTGTGTGTGTGTGTGTGTCTGTGTATTTATACATGTATATGTATACAAATATGTGTGTGGATAGACAGATAGATAGTTGATCCTCATTATTCACAGATTCTGTATTTGTGAATTGACCTCTTCACTAAAATGTATTTGTAACCCCAAAATCAATACTTTGAATGGCTTTCAAAGTCATTCTCAGACACGCAGAGTGGAGAAAATTGAGTTGCCCGATGCACATGATCCTAGCCGAGGCTGAACAAGGCGACACTCTGCCTTCTTGTTTCAGCTCACAAGTGTCCTTCATGTGGTCTGTTTAGTGCCACATTTTCCACACTTTTATGCTTTTGGGGGGGGATTTTGCTGTTTAAAATGGCCCCAAGCATAGTGATGAAGTGCTAAGCACAAGGAAATACGTGTGTGAGATGAGCATCCTTCAGTGCTGTTGGACCAGAGATCCATGTGAATGGATCAACATTATATTAAATAAGATGTCTTTAGGCACACAGGTAAAACCAGGTGATGTATTGATCAGTTGGTAAAAATGTTGCGATTGGAAGCTGTGCTTCTGGTAAACTCCTAGCTCAGAATTTGCTCCTTCAGTGTCCAAGGCCTAACTACCGTGAATAATGAGAACTAGGGCACATCTACCAGACATCCTGTTTCAGAAGGTTGCTCTCCTTCCCTAAAAGGCCTTTCACATGTACCTCTGTCCTCTCAGGTTTCTTGACAACCCAGAAGGCCTCGTGGGACAGTACAGTCACTGGATCAATACCTCAGGTATGTCCCAAGGGGAGGGAGCAGGCAGGGGCCTTGGAGGGACCCGGGGCTCAGGCCCATCCCGGGGATGCCTCTCTTTACACCAGTCTATTTTCCTTCTTTGAGTTTTCCAAATCACACATGTATTTGTGCCCCTTGCAGAAAAACAGAAATCTTCCCCCAAATTTCAGAAGTGTGTCTGAACAATAACAACAGCAACACACACACACATGCAACCACACACACATAATGTGTGGGGTTTTTTAATGGAATCATATTATGTATATTGGTCTCTGACTTACTTTTTCATTTAAGAAGGTGATACCTTAGAGATTTCTGTGTCAGTACTTGTAGAATTTTATGGGTTTTTTTTTTTAATTGTGGTATAATACACTTAACGTCAGTTAAAACTACAGTTCTGACTCATTAGTCCTGAAATCCGTTTAACAGGTCAAAAACAGGATTTTTAAAAATTAAAAAACAGAAAAATATGAATGCCTTACAGAAGTTAAGGAAATGCCATATCTTCAGTGATACATATTTATACTGATATATATGTATGTGAGTAATGGGTTATAGTTAGAAACACATCTTATATTTGTATTTTATATTATAAAATGTATTTCTAATTATATCTCTATTTCTGTCTTATTTATAATTTCATTTGTTTTTTTGTTTGTTTTTAGATTCCTCATGTAAGTGATATCATATGATACTTGTCTTTCTCTGTCTGGCTGACTTCACTTAGCTTGATAATCCATGTTGCTGCAAATGGCATTATCTCATTCTTTTTTTGGCTGAGTAATATTCCATTGTATATATATATGTATATATATATATATATATATATAACGTCTTCTTTATTCATTCATCTGTCAATGGTCATTTACGTTGCTCCCCTGTCTTGCCTACTTTAAATAGTGATGCTATGGATACTGGGGTGTGTGTATGATTTTGAATTAGAGGTTTCTATGGGTATATGCCCAGAAGTGGGATTGCTGGTTTATATGGTAGCTCTATTTTCAGTTTTCTGCGGAACCTCCATACTGTTCTCCATAGTGGCTGCACCACTTTACATTCCCACCCACAGTGTAGGAGGGTTCCCTTTTCTTCACACCCTCTCCAGCATGTATTGTTTGTAGACTTTTCACTGAGGGCCGTTCTGACCGGAGTGAGGTGATAACCTCACTGTAGTTTCGATTTGCACTTCTCTAATGATTAGCGCTGTTGAGCATCTTTTCATGTGAACCATCATTTTTAAAGCCAATTCCTCTTACTGGAGATTGAGGCTGTTTTTGTTTTGTTTTGGGGGAGTGGTTTTTCCCAGCGTGCCTGCTGTAGGACATCTACATTGCTCTCTAAACATGAGGCAGAGAGACAGCCGGGAAAGGATAGTTTATCCCCTCCAGTCTGTAAGGACTCTTTTCCGGTACGCGGGCCTCTCACTGCTGTGGCCTCTCCCGTTGCGGAGCACAGGCTCCGGATGCGCAGGCTCAGCGGCCATGGCTCACGGGCCCAGCCGCTCCGCGGCATGTGGGATCTTCCCGGACTGGGGCACGAACCCACGTCCCTTGCATCAGCAGGCGGACTCTCAACCACTACGCCACCAGGGAAGCCCAGGACTCATTTTTAAATTACCTGAAATCCCTGGATTCAGATCATGTCTCTGCTGCCCAAGTCACTCTCCCCTCCAGCCTCGGGCTCTTGCTCCGTAAGAATGAGCCCCATTGGCAGTTCCCTGGTGGTCTAGTGGTTAGGATGCCAGGCTTTTACTGCCGAGGGCCCGGCCAGGTTCAATCGGTGGTCGGGGAACTGAGATTATGCAAGCTGCGCCAGCATGACCAAAAAAAAAACAAGGAGCCCCACGGTTAGTTTATTGCAGTTCTGCTGATTCTAAGGCAGTCACGGGGAAGTGGAACTGGTGGTGCCAGTGGGGCTGGTGGGACCCGGGCTTGGGGTGGGCGGGGCCAGAAGGAAGTTCAGCCCCAGGTTTACCAGCCTCTCTGAGCCTCCGCTTCCCCACGTGTAAAATAGGGCGAATAATAGCCCTCACCTCCCGAGGGTTGTCCTGAGAATTCAGTGTAGAGCTGGGCCCAGGGGTGCTGCCTTAGCTTCTGCCGCAGCCCTAATTAAACGTGCTCAGAGCCAGCCTGAGACAGACATTGCTCAAGTGGGAGCTATTATGATTACTGTATTGGTTTCATAATTGGCACTTTTAAAAAGTGTAATAATGGCATTGTGCTATTTAGGGAAAACGAACAACAAAAAGGCTTTATCTTTTAAAACAGCCTCTATCTTTTAAACTCCATCCCTGGGGCAGCCAGCCTGGCTTTGTAAGCCAGTGAACTAAGTTTTTGTGGGGTTTTTTTGGCCTCATACCCTGACTTGCGGGATCTTAGTTCCCTGACCAGGGATCCAACCCGTGCCCCCTGCAGTGGAAGCGCGGAGTCATAACCACAGGACTGCAAGGGAAGTCCCCTAAGAATTGTTTTACAGTTTGAAATGGCTGGGGAAAAAAGTCAAGAGAAGAACGCGTTGTGACGCGTGAAACCTGTCTGACGTTCAAGCTGCAGAGTCCATAAATAAAGTAGTCTTGGTGCATAGCTACGCCCATCGGCTTCCTGCCTTCCGTGGGCCTTTTGTGGGAGAACAGCTGAGCTGGGTCCTGGCCACAGAGATTCCCGGCGTACAAGCTTGCTGGCTCCCATTTAGAGATACCCACCAAATAGTCGGAGATAAAATTGTATAATCAGCCTGGGTTTGCTTTAAAACAATACAGGATGGGGAAGGGGCAGGGGTTCTGATGAAACAAGGTGGGCGTGAGTTGACAGCTGACGAGACTGGGTGACGGATATGCTGCTGTTCATGGTACCGCTCTCCTGTTGCTTATGTTTGATGTTTTCCAAAAAAAACAATTTAAATCTAAGTGGTCGTGGCAGTGCCGGGCACAGAGGAAGCACCGAGCAAATGGGCACCACGGCTGAGACCCTCTAGGCAGAGCCCCTCAGGCTCTGGGTTGGGTACCCCTCTCAGGCTCCTCCCGTGTCTTGACCACAGAGACCCTGCAGAAGTATCTGAAGGTGGTGATGGCCCTCAAGTACGAGGAGAAGCCGCCCTACACTGCCCTGAGGAACAATCTGAAAGCCCTGCTTCAGGATCTGCGGGTGTCGGCCTACGACCCCTTGGACCTCCAGGTGGTACCCTAGGTGCGTTCCAGTGGGAAGAGTTTGTGAGGCTTAACCCTCTCCCCAGCTCCCACCGCTGTTTCCACCGATGCCATTTGATGTTTATACTCCAGGGGCCAACTTCCCAGTGAGCTGCTGCCTTTTTCCACAGGATTCTTGAACCTTCCAGACCCCAGGCATCACAAGTAGCACAAGTAGCAGGAACTCGACTCAAACTGGCTTTAAGGAAAAGGGCAATTGATTGGCCCTTGTCACTAGAATATTCCGAGGGGGAAGCTTTAGGTGTGACTGGATTCGGGGCCTGGAAGTTAGCACCGAGATGTTGTCAGTCTCTCTGTCTTTCTCTGTCCCTTTTCTCATCCCTCCATCCCTCTACCCATCCACCTGCAGTCTCTGCTTTCCTTTGGGTCACCCCCCAAAAAACCCCATCTGTCCCCCACCAAAACCCCTGGCTCTGTGTCCAGTGCCTCACCTTGCTCGTGTGTGTGTGTGTGTGTGTGTGTGTGTGTGTGTGTGTGTGTGTGTGATGACTCTAAAGTTTGACTACAGTAAGCATACACATAGGGAAGTAGGGGAGCTAACGCCCAGGAACTAGAAAGGCCACACGGTACAACACGTGGACGAACACATTGACAAAACATTCCACATCTTTATAAAAGGGGCTGTATTGGTCCTTTTGCCTTTTTCGTTGTTGTTCCACTGAGCCCATATGGCCATTCCTTGGGATAATGGGGAAGGGCAATTCATACTGTTTGGTTCCTTCCCCCACAGTCTTGCAGCTCTTCGATGGTGGAGATGAAGGATGCTCTTTATAACGCCAGTGGCTGGGTGTTTGCTTGCTTTGCCAGGGTTTTGTTTTCCAGACAGAACACCTTGAACACCCGTGTGCACACAGGCCTGAGGATGGATTTCTTTTGAAGGAGATAAGCAGATCGCTCTTCCCCGGGGGCCGTGCTCACTCACTCACGCTCCCCTTAGCACTGAGTGAGAGCTTACGGGAATCTGTGGAAGGCCAAAATTATAAACTCAGTTCACTTGACGGTTCATTTTGGTGAGGCAGCATGGATGGGTTCTGAGGAGCAGCTTCCCCAAGGCCCTCCCCTGTATGTGGGGTTGTCATTTCTCTCACACGTCTGTCTGGATTCAAAGCTCAGTGTCTGTCCAACTCAGCGGCTCTCAGACGGAGGCAGTGTTCCCCCGGGGGCCATTTGGCAGTGTCTGGAGACATTTTTGGTGCTCACGCCTGGGGAGAGGTGCTGCTGGCATCTCAGGGGTCGAGGCCGGGGATGCTGCTCCCTGTTGTGCGACACACAGGCCGCCCTGCTATCAGCAGCGCCATGGCCGAGGAAGCAGGCCCGCGTGCGTCTTGAGGAGCATCCTTGTGGGTGGCAGCCTGTCTCCCACAGTGTGGTCTTCTTCTCTTGGCACCTTGACGACAGGTGCTTCTTCAGCCCTGCAACCCTTACTCTCATCCCAGAGCTGAAACCACGAGGTAACATGTGTGTCCGGCTCTTCACACAGTGCCTGGGTGCAGAGCGCTCCAAAAATGCCAGGTTGTTTGTTCGTTCAGTAACCTAGCAGGCTCCCTGCCTTAATCACAGACACTCTCCAAAAGTGAAGGCGTGACCTCCACCCAGCTCGCCACCCTCCCAGTCTCTGTCCCCCCAACCCCCAGCTGTCCTGAGAGACCTCTGGGTCCTCCCACACCCCTCTCTGCCCCCAGCCCTGTCCCTGCAGGCGGCTGCTAAGCCTCTTCTAGCCCTCTCCTTCAGGGCTCTGCCTCTGCCCGGACCTCCCAGAGTTTGGTCACCTGCTGGCGGTGAGCTCCGGGAGGGCCGGGTCACGTCTGTTTCTGCATCTCTGTGCTTCCCACTCACATCACTGGCCTGGCTCATAAATATTCCACCCATATTTACCGAGTGGGTGAGTCCAGCCTTCCCGTCAGTGCTGGCCTGTCTTACAGTACCTCCCTGTCCCCCACCCCCAGTACCATGGAAATTTAAAAGCTAAAGACCGAACGGCCCCTTTCAGGATCATTACAGCTCACTCTCTGGGGACCACTTACTCACTGCCAAGTTTGTCCCTTCGTTAGGAACTTAATGAAGAGATGCTCCTTAAGGAGCCTGGGGACTTTGGAGTAACTTGAGGATCATCTTGCCTCTGCCTTGGCCCGAGCGCCCAACCACCCCTCAGATTCTAGGCCAGGCCAAGCTCAATCCTACCTCAGAACCTTTGCACTTAACCATTCGCATGGTCTGTGACGATTTTCCCCTTCTTTTTTAATTTATTTATTTATTTATTATTTTTGGCTGCGTTGGGTCTTCGTTGCTGTGCGCGGGCTTTCTCTAGTTGCGGTGAGCGGGGGCTACTCTTCCTTGCAGTGTGCGGGCTTCTCATTGCGGTGGCTTCTCTTGTTGCGGAGCACGGGCTCTAGGTGCACGGGCTTCAGTAGTTGTGGCTCACAGGCTCAGTTGTGGCACGCGGGCTGTAGAGCGCAGGCTTCAGTAGTTGTGGCACACGGGCTCAGTAGTTGTGTTGCGGGCTGTAGAGCGCAGGCTCAGTAGTTGTGGTGCACGGGCTTAGTTGCTCCGCAGCATGTGGGATCTTCCGAGACCAGCGCTCGAACCCGTGTCCCCTGCACTGGCAGGCGGATTCTTAACCACTGCGCCACCAGGGAAGCCCCTCCCCTTCGGTGTGCATGACCGGCTCCTTCTCATCACTGCCTCTCAGATCCCGAGGCCTCCCCTTGTCGCCTTCTGGAGGGAAACATGTGTTTAATCTGTCGTGTCTCCACGCTTCTCTCCTCCAGATTGTAAGCCCAGCAAAGTCTTCTTGTTCCTCTTGTTCGTGGTGGTATCTCGCATCCCTAGAAAGTAGAAAGCCCCTATCACACAGTAGGGGCGTAAAGGGTGCTCTTTGAATGAATGACACTGACAGCCATTTTTATCGTCTTCTAGAACTTTCAGCCTGCAGTTTGAAATAGAAAAAAAAAAAAGAAGATGTGTGACTCAAGGACTGCTATAGAATCACAGACAAGCTGCTAGAAAGATCCCTCGAATGTGCATTCCTGCCACTTCTTTAGATCATCCGTCTAGATCAGCCTCAGGGAACCCGGAAGTTAGGCTCAGATACTGTGAACTCCCTCCTTTGACCATCCCTCTCTTCAGCCGTTGTCTCCCACCAGCCACTGACGTTTTGGACTAAGACCCCCAGTTCACAGATGGGGGTTGGGCTGGTCCTCTCAGTAAGGACGCGGCCATTGGCACCACTATGCTGTAGCAATAAATTGTTTCATTGGAGCTTGGAGGGTTGAGTGTCTGCAAAAGAAGTTCCTTTTGGAAAACTTTAGCTCATTTTTTCCCCGTGTTTTTTTTTTTGCGGTACGCGGGCCTCTCACTGTTGTGGCCTCTCCCGTTGCGGAGCACATGCTCCGGACGCGCAGGCTCAGCGGCCATGGCTCACGGACCCAGCCGCTGCGCGGAATGTGGGATCTTCCCGGACCGGGGCATGAACCCGCGTCCCCTGCATCGGCAGGCGGACTCCCAACCACTGCGCCACCAGGGAAGCCCTAGCTCATTTTTTTTTTTTTTCCTCCCACCCACCCATCCCTTCAAGCTTTCACCCAGCCATCTACTCTTTCATACATCTATTCACACTTTCAGGCAGACACTCATCCATCCATTCTTTCACTTATCTATCCATCCCTCCATCCATCCCTCCATCCAACCCTCCATCCATCCCTCCATATACTTGTCCATCCATCCCTCCATCCACTCACCCTTTCATCCATCCATTCATTTACTACTCATTCTCCCATCCACTTACCCTTCTTCTCTTCCATACATTCACCCTTCCTTTCATTCGAGAAATATTCAGCAGGCATTTCTTGAGCACATGCTATATGACATGCATCATGCTGCACAGAGGATCCCGATGAACCAAATACACCTGCCAAGGTCCTTGAGCTGATGGAGCCTACAGTCAAGCGGGAGGAGACGGTGTTCAAGGAGACGACTTCACGTGGTGATTGGCACTCTGAAGACAAAGCTCGGGCTGTGATGGAGAGGGAGAGGCCTCGGGACAGGAGGGCGCCTTTGGGGGGAGCCTGGACTCAGAGGGACCAGGGAGGAAGCTGTGGGAGGGTAGTTAGAGGAAAGGAGGGCCTGGGGAGAGATGTCAAAGGCAGGCTGGCCGGCAGCACGTGGCAAATGATTAGACTGGGAGAGGCTCAGGAGGAGGAGGGGATAAACCCGCCTCCCCGAATTGGACCTTGGATGTCTTACACCATCCACCCTGCTTTGAGATGGGGAGGATCAGAGGCCGGATGGGGAAGAAACTGCTCTGAGACGCCCTGATCCTCTCCCTGCTCAGGAGAGGAACGGAGGTTAGCGGACTGATGATCGTTTCCTGCCTGAAAGGAAGTGTGTATAATCCTTTCCAGAAGGGGGCAGTCCTTAAGGAGAGAGAAAACCCATCAGAAAATCTCCTACTTACAGCCCCTCTGTGTTTATGAGTCCACAAAAGAAGAGGGACGTCAGCCACCCTTCAGGGCCCCAGATCAGGCAAGGGGGACGGTCATAGTCAACACCTGCCCGTCCCGTCATCCTGCCCTCGGTGCACTTGGCCAGTCCAGCATCAAAGTCCGGCAGGCCCCTGTCCTCCACCCTTCTCTCTGAGCGAGCAAAGGCAGCGAGACCCAGCGCTGCTCCGACAATGGGAGAGTCCCACGTCCGTCCTGGCAGAGCAGCGAGAATGTGGGCAGTTTCCCTCCCTGTCAGTGAGCCCGCTTTAATCTGTCTCCAGAGCCCAGGTTTTGGCAGCTCATCCCCCAACCTCTGAAAGAGGAGGGTGTGGTCATCGGCATTAGATGAGAATCACAGGGTCCAGGGGAGTGGCAGTGACTCACAGGCCACCATGTGGCCGACAGTGGCTGGAACCTGTCCTCTGTCCCCTCCACCCCACCTCTGCCCCAAAATGAAACCCTGGCTCAAGGTTAGTGAGACATTTGTGGTGCTGGGGGTGTGAGTTTTTAAATAATTTTTACTGCAGGGCACCTCTGAGCCTTCAGTAAACTCAAGTTGTTACCGGAAGGGGTCCCCTTCCAGGGCCCGAGAGTGAGGTCTAACACTCAGAAATGACTTGTCCGAGGAGACACATGTGCTGACAAAGCAAGAGACCTTATTGGGAAGGGGCGCCCCAGCAGAGAGCAGCAGGGTAAGGGAACCCAGGAGAACGGCTCTGTCACGTGGCTCGCAGTCTCAAGGTTTATGGTGATGGGGTTAGTTTCGGGTTGTTTCTGGCCAAGCATCTTGCTTGTGCCCATATTTGGGCTGGCTCAGGGTCCTTCCTGGTGGTGCACGCATCTCTCCGCCAAGATGGATTCTAGCATGAGGATTTGTGGGAGGTTGGCAGGACATATTACCGACTGGCGTCTCCTCCCTCGTTTTGGCCCCTCCTGAATTCTCCCGCAAGCACCATGTTGTTTATCAGGACCTCCTGTCATGAGACAACTCATGCAAGTGGTTATTATCGTGCTTGGCAAAGGCGAGCAGTTTCGGTCAGTGGTTCCCTAACAAGGTGTGGGGTTTCATCTCCAAGAGGGGCCGCCCAGTAGGCAGCTGGGAAGGACAAATCACTTCCCTTCCCTTGTGAAATATTTTTCTTATGAAAAAGGATTGCTTCTAAGGCTATTGCAAGTAAAATTCCTTCTGGATGAGACCTCAGAAACGATAGCAAATGTTTGCAGAGACTTCCTTATGGATGTTAAAATTCAGCTGAGTACCTTTTACAGATCTAATTGGCTCTGTTCAGTGATTCCTGAACTGAGCAGCATCCTGTCGAGCAGACAGAACAGATGTTGAAAGACTTTTTAGAGGCAGAAGGAAGCAGGAACAAGAAAGTTCTGCTGGGCTTCCCCGGTGGCGCAGTGGTTGAGAGTCCGCCTGCCGATGCGGGGGACGCAGGTTCGTGCCCTGGTCCGGGAGGATCCCACGTGCTGCGGAGCGGCTGGGCCCGTGAGCCATGGCCGCTGAGCCTGCGTGTCCGGAGCCTGTGCTCCGCAAAGGGAGAGGCCACAACAGTGAGAGGCCCGCGTACCGCACAAAAAAAGAAAAAAAGTTCTACTAGGCAAAAAAAGCAGGTTGCTTATTGCAAACTTGCTTTTCTTCAGGGGACTGCAGGGGTCTGTCAGGCATATTGCTTAACTAATTCTGATCAGATGATTCCTGATTGATGGTTTAAGATGCCATTTCTGGAAGAGCCAACACTGTCATGGAGTCTCTGTTTGGTGACGTGGGGCTTAGCATAAGCAACTCCATTTTGGGCCTGTTGTCATATTTTTAACACCCAGTTGGAAGTTAATGGGAAAATTTTTACTGCTTTGGTGGAGAGTCTACAAATGCAAATTATGTTGGGTGTTCGTGAAATGTTTCACATCTACGTTGTGAGATGTAGATGTTTCACATCTACGTTGTGAAACGTAGATGATATATTTTTTAAACTGAATTGCTATTAGTTTATTTTTTTAATTTATTTTATTTATTTTTGGCTGCGTTGGGTCTTCGTTGCTGGGTGGGCTTTCTCTAGTTGCAGTGACTACTAAGCCCACGTGCTGCAACTACTGAAGCCCCCGCGCCTAGAGCCCATGCTCCACAACAAGAGAAGCCACCGCAATGAGAAGCCCGCACACCACAGCAAAGAGTAGCCCCCGCTTGCCGCAACTAAATAAAGCCTGTGCGCAGCAACAAAGACCCAGTGCAGCCAAAAATAATAAATAAATAAATAAATAAAATTTATAGAAGAAGATAATAATAATCCATGGGAATTCCCTGGCAGTCCAGTGGTTAGGAATCGGTGCTTTCACTGTTGAGAGTGCGGGTTCAATCCCTGGTTGGGAAACTAAGATCCCACAGGCCACACAGCACGGCCAAAATAAAAATAAAAATAATAAAATAATCCATGGGGGGAAGCATGTTTCATTGCTTACTTATAATTTCCAGGGTTTGTTTAGCCATAGAATTATGCAAATTAAAAGAACAGAGGACTTCCCTGGTGGCGCAGCGGTTAAGAATCTGCCTGCCAATGCAGGGGACACGGGTTCGAGCCCTGGCCCAGGAAGATCCCACATGCCGCGAAGCAACTAAGCCCGTGCACCACAACTACTGAGCCTGTGCTCTAGAGCACGCAAGCCAAAACTACTGAGCCCGCATGCCACAACTACTGAAGCCCGCACGTCTAGAGCCCGTGCTCCACAACAGGAGAAGCTACCTCAATGAGAAGCTGTCGCACCGCAATGAAGAGTAGCCCCCGCTCGCTGCAACTAGAGAAAGCCTGCACGCAGCAACCAAGACCCAAGGCAGCCAAAAATAAATATATAAAAAGAACAGAAAACAATGTTAAGTGCTCTGTTGTTTAAAGAATTGATGGAAAATTTCTTTGAGTGTCAAGGCTATTCTTAAAAGAGACATGACTTAGAACAGGAAAAGAAATTCTTTTTTTTAATTTGAAGTATAGTTGATTTACAATGTTGTGTTAGTTTCAGGTATACAGCAAAGTAATTCAGTTATACATATATACATATAGATTCTTTTTCAGATTTTTTTCCCTTATTAGTTATTACAAGATAATGAATATGGTTCCCTGAGCTATGCAGTAGGTCCTTGTTGTTTATCTCTTTTATATATAGTAGTGTGTATCTGTTAATCCCAAACTCCTAATTTATCCCTCCCTGCCTCCTTTCCTCTTTGGTAACCATCTGTTTGTTTTCAACGTCTGTGAGAAGAAATTCTGACTTGAAGTGGATAATTACTGTGGCATTCCCATGATGATATTTTCAAAAAGACTTCATCCCTTGGAGAATGTGATTCTCTTACACAGATGTTACCAAATACTCTGCCAGCATGAGAGCACATGGAACCATCTTGTGTCATGTTGAGGAAGGGGGTAAAAAGTGGCAACCATGCTCTTGTTTTGTCGGTAGACACCATTTTTAAAGGTCATTGATCAAGAGATGCAACGTGATCCTGAAAAATGGCAAAGCAAAATCTGCTATGAAAGATGGAATTACATGCTTCAACACCTCCAATCTGAAGAACAGTCATCAGCATGAAGTTATTAACTTTATGCCCAAAACACATTCCCTATCTTGGCCCATAATGCTGGTGTTGGGCATGTTTCCTCATGAATGGAAACAATGGAAAAAATTAAATGGACACTCAATGGAAAAAAGAACAAAATCAGTTGGATGTGACCCCCGTTAAAAACTATATTACAATGTAAATGGACACAGACTGGAAGTGCAAGGAATTTTATAAGCAGATTCTGCAAAACCAGAAACTTAAGGAGAACCAAAATATCAAGGACACAAAATTCAAGAGGTACCCTTGAATCATTGATTTCAGATAATCAGTGAATGATTTTTTTTGTCTGAGAAAATACACAAATTGAGTTTCCAGGAAGCAGGCTCAGAGAGAGGCCAGTATGCAACGTGTTGGGAGGAGGAAGTGCCCCAGGGGTGGGTCCCTGTGGAGGGGAGGGGGAGGGGGAGGGGCAGGTGGGGCAGAGGGATGAGATGCAGCCCAACGACAGCCTCAGCCGAGAGTCTTTGGGGAGCTCTGGTGGGGGGGAGGTCTCCAGAGCTGGGGGTCATCATTTATGGATCTTGATCTCAGCATATTCGGTGGTGCTGCTGGCGGCCTCCTGGTCCTGAGGCTCCCAGGGCTTCAGCATGTAGAAACTGAGGGAGGCGTAATGGAGCTCCCGTTCCACCCCAGAAGTGGGGGCGGCCACCACTGGTAGGGGGAGGTCCCGGGGGCTGCCTGGAGGACACTCCTGCTGGTAACCCTGAGTGGAGGGAAAGAAGGGGGTCATATCAGGATAACAGGGCTGGAAGAGAGCAAGTGGGGTCCATAAGTAAACCTGAAAACTGAACATTCAGTCTTTCATCCATTCATTCCAGACATTGGCTGAGGCCCCCATTCATTCATTCATTCATTCATTCAACAAATGCTTGAGCGTAATAATGCCTGGCCCTTAGTAATTAGTTGCCAGTCTCCTGGATTCCTCACAACAATCTACTTGGGAGACACTATTATCCCCATTTATCGGTGGAGAAATTGAAGCTAAGTAAATATCCCCAAATCACACATTTAGTCATTGGTAAGGCCAAGATTCATGCTAGATCTTTCTGACTCCAGTGCTGCCTTATGGAAGAGCTCCCCTGGTGCCAGGCTCTGGATATTCAGTGAGGAACAAAGAAGACACCATTCCTGACCTCCTGCAACTTGCTGGGGTGGGGGTGGGGGGATGGCGGGGAGCAGGCATTAAAGCAGTAGTCAATTGTATTACTATATAATTGCAAATTAAGATGGGACAAAAATGGGATGGATGGTGTGAGGACGGGGATTTGCTCAGACCTGGATGGCCCTTCAGGGACCACTCAGCATTTCAGAGGTTCAGGCAAACACAATCACCCAATTGCATTATGAACCCTAAAATCAAAGGATCTTGTGCCAGAAAGGGTTAACCTTGCCCAAAGAAAATGTGACCCTTTGCCCCAGCACCTGGGAGGGAACCTCTAAGCCCTTGAAATATCTTGACTGATTAGAGTGTCTTTGTTCACCCGGGTCTTGGCCCACACTAGATGGTGTAACATGTGACAGATGGTGGGGGCCTTGGGTCACACAGTATCACACCTCTGCAGACACTGGACACTAAGTTAAGCCATGTGGGCAGTCAGCCATGCCAACGTAACCAACTCCCAATAAAAATGCTGGGTATGGGAGAATTTCTTGGCCGTCCAGTGGTTAGGCCTCCTTATTTCCACTGCAGGGACATGAGTTTGATGCCTCGTCGGGGAACTGAGATCCCACAAGCTGCTCAGTGTGGCCAAAAAAAAGAAGAAACACTCTGAATGTGAAGGCTCAGGTGTGCTTCCCTGTCTGGCAATAGCCCATACATGTTACCACACATCATTGCTGGGAGAATTAAGCACCTTCTGCACAATTCCACTTGAAAGAGGCAACTGGGGACTCATGCCTGGCCTCCCCCAGACTCTGCCCCATGTGCCTTTTCCCTTAGCTGATTTTAATCTCTATCCTTGTCCTGTGATATAACCATGAGTATAAAAGCTTTCAGTGAGTTTTGTGAGTCCTTCTGGTGAGTTATTGAAATTGAGCTTGTCTTGGGGACCCCCAAACTTGATAGTAGACAATAATTACTTTGGGGAGAGCCTTGTGGCATCCTGTCTTGAGGAGGTGAGGTAGGAAGCGGGGGTGGGGGGGGGAAGTGGGTCAGCAGTCCAGAGAGAAAGGAGGAGGTGGGGGTAGGGAGGGCCCAGTTGGAACTGAATATAGTCAGTAAGATGGCTGGGTGGTCCTTGGCTCTGAGAGAGGAGACAGAGAGCAGAGGGAAGGGTGACTCCCAGGTCACTGGGCTGGGTGACTGTGTTGATAGGGTCCAAGAGGAAAAGCCTGTGTGGGTCATGATGAGCGTCTAAGTCATCGAGAGGACTGCAGCCATGGCCATGCTGGGGAGATAGCCAGATGGGATCCCGAGGGACAGAGCGCCCATCACTCACCTGGGAGGTGGGACCCAGCATGGAGGGCGCATCCTTCTCACTGGGGGCCTTCCTGAAGGTCTTCACTCTGAAAGGGGAAGCCAGGACCTTTCAGCAGCCCAGCTGGCTCAGAGCTTGGAGGGCGACTACTGTCCTCCCTGCTTAAGAGCCTAGAAGGGCTGGGACTTCCCTGGCAGCCCAGTAGTTAAGACTCCAAGCTTCCACTGCAGGGGGCATGGGTTCGATCCCTGGTCGGGGAACTAAGATCCCAAGTGCCACACGGTGTGGCCAAAAAATAAGAAAAATTAAAAAAAAAAAAAAAAAGAGGCTAGAAGGGCTGACCAAGGCCAGGGGGTAGGGGGTGCGCCTCACCTTATTGACCTTCATAATGAGAACGGGCGCCCTTCAATGGATAGCTGGGATGGAGGGGTGGGGACAGACCCTGCTCTGATTCCCTGACTCAAGGCCCAGTTCTCCAAAGCCCTGCACCACCCAGATTCCTCCAGGGGGGGCTGCCTGGGATTCCAGGGCTCAGACCCCTTCCCGTCCCCTGCACTCGCCTCCCTCCCCCAAGAGATGACACTCACGTGAAGAAGATGAGGCAGGAACAGAGACTGAGCAGGCCAGCGATGCCAGCTCCTCCGACGGCCCCCAGAACGAATTCTCCTCCAAGCTTGGGCTTCCCTGTAGATGATCGGGGTGTAGGGTGATTCCCCTCCAAGCCCCAGGACCCTCGTGCCCCTTCCTCCCACAGAATTTGAGCTCTCCTCTTCTGCAGCCCCCAACCAGCCAAAGAACAGAACTCTGCTCCCACCCCTGTCTCTCATCCCCTCCCGTCCAGGCCCCTCTCCCCACAAGTTCCATCTTCAAAGGATGGAGACTCCTTTCCCCCTAAGCCTCTGCCCTCAACAGGTCCCCTGACCTGGCAGCAGCAGAACAGTGGCGCTCTGGGCCCCGTGGACGTTCTGGGCCTCGCAGCCGAGTCTGAGGCCAGAGCTGAGCCCCTCGCGGAGGCACAGGGAGCTGTTGGCCCAGGGCCCAGCCGAGCTGGAGGTGACCTTGAAGGAGGCGTTGCTGAAATTCCCCTCCAGCAGCCCCTCCCCCAGCCGCCAGCGCAGGGAGGGGGCCGGCTGGGCTCGGGAGGAACAGTCGCAGTGCAGACCCTCATCCTCCTGGGAGCAGGAGGGTCCCAGCAGCTGCGGGGCGTCTGTGGGGAACGAGAAGTGTCAGCCTGCCCCTCCCCTCCCCTGGACCTGAGTGTCCTCTCCCTGGGTGTTCTCCCTCCTCCCAGCTCACTCTGCACGGAGAGACGCACGGAGGTCCGCAGGGAGCCCTGAGGATGCTGAGCTAGGCAGGTGAATTCGCCTTCATGGCCCGACACCACCCGGGGCACCTGCAGGACCCCAGGGTTCGAGGGATGTGAGGGGCTCAGGGTCCGGCTCCCCCAGGACCAGCTCAGTGTGGCTGGGGGGTTGCTGTCGGTGACACAGGCCAGGCGCAGAGATTCTCCTTCCAGGACAGGAAGAGATGAGCCGTTCCCCAGGTATTTCAGCTCTGGAGAGAGAGAGAGACAGAGACAGAGACACAGAGAGAGACAGACAGAGAGAAAGAGAGAGCTGAGCGCAGGCTATGAAGCCCTGTTTCTATGTCTCTCTCCTTTCTACTTTTTTTTTTTTTTTTTAAGTTGGGAAGGAATCCCACAAGTAGTTTTTTAAGCAGCTTTATTGAGATATAATTCACATACCATGCAACTCCATTTACATACCACCTAAAAGTCATGCGATAACTATCACTGCAATCAATTTTAGAACATTTTCATGACCCCCCACAATACTCTGCACCCCTTAGCCACCACCCGCAATCCTCCCATCACCCCAGCCCTACGCAACCACTAATTTCTGTCTCTATGGATCTGTCTCTTCCGGCCATGGCGTGTAAATATCCAGCTTCTTCCCCTCAGCATGATGTTTCCAAGGTTCATCTACGTGTATCAGTGCCTCATTCCTTTTCGTGGCTGAATCTCATCCATTGTCTGAATAGACCATGTTTTGTTCATCTGTCCATCTGTGGATGGACACGGGTTGCCCCTTAACTTCTCTGAGGCATTTGCCCTCATCCACGTTTCTCTCCTTACTTCCTGAACTGCTCACCATTAGCCGTTCAAGTATCCAAAATTCAAGTCCCAGATCCTTCAAGGCTCTTCAGGACCTGGTCTCTACCTCCTCACCTCCTTTGCCCCGGTTATCTCAGGATAAATAGGGCGTTCACATCTCGCATTCTAAAATTCACAGAGGAAGGAAGGGGTGTCCAGAATGAAGTCCCTCCCACACTGACTCCCCAAGTGACAAATTCCTCTTGTCCCAGGCAACATTCATTGCCAGTTTCTCATGTGGCCACTCCAGAGCTATTCTGTCATAGCCTCATCTAGTGGCATCGATAATAGACATCCCTGAGGGACCTCCCTGGTGGTCCAGAGGTTAAGACTCCGTGCTCCCAAGGCAGGGGGCCCAGGTTCGATCCGTGGTCAGGGAACTAGAGCAGGCATGCCACGACTAAAAAATAAATAAAAGATCCTGCATGCCGCAGCTAAGACCCAGCACAGCCAAATAAATTAATTAATTAAAAAATAATATATATATATATACATCCCTGAGGCCCCACAATTATGCTCCTGGCCCTAAAACTTATAATCTCATAACTCAGAGTAGGGACTGTGACCCAGTAGATCAGCACCCTTCAGGAGCTGGTTAGAAATGCAGATTTGCAGGCCTCGCTGGGCCTCCAGAGTAAGAATCTTCATTGTCACAAGATCGTTGAGAAATGTGTGTGCTCAATCAAGCTTTAGAAGTATTGCCCAAAAGAAAGGCTATTCTGTTTGCCCAGGGAATGGGGAATGTTTGAAGGGACATTCCCAGGAAAACTAAAATCAGTGAACTCAAACGCTTGTCAAAAGTAGAATGGATAGGGCTTCCCTGGTGGCACAGTGGTTGAGAGTCCGCCTGCCGATGCAGGGGACACGGGTTCGCACCCCGGTCCGGGAAGATCCCACATGCCGTGGAGCGGCTGGGCCCGTGGGCCATGGCCGCTGAGCCTGCGCGTCCAGAGCCTGTGCTCTGCAACGGGAGAGGCCACAACAGTGAGAGGCCCGCGTACCGCTAAAAAAAAAAAAAAAAAAAAAAGTAGAATGGAAAAGAGAAAAACAAAAACAAAAATGGAATGGAAAACTAAGTTCCGCAGTGGAATGGTCTGTCGACAAGGAGACATGGTCATTACAGCTCCAAGCACTGCGGGTGAAGGTCAAGATCATGAGATGTTGCCACACCAAAGTCAAGGCAGCTCTGCCACAGAAAATCCACTCCCAGGTACAGACTCAAAAGAATCGACATCAGGGACTCAAACAGTTACTTGTCCAGGAATGTTCAGAGAAGCACCATTCACAACGGCCACAAGGTAGAAACAACCCAAATGCCCATCAGCAGATGGATGGAGAAACAGATGGTGGTCCATCCACACAGTGGAATATTATTCAGCCGTAAAAAGGAGGGAAGTTCTGATCAATGCTAAAATGTGGATGAACCTTGAAAACATCACATTAAGTGAAAGAAGCCAGACACAAAAGTCCACATATGGTATAATTCCATTTCTGTAAATGTCCAGAATTCATAGCAAATTCACAGAGACAGAAAGTAGATGAGTAGTTGCCTGGGGCTGGAGAGAGGGGAGAAGAGGACTTGAGTACTTAACAGGTACAGGGCTTTCTTTCTGGGTGATGGGAAAGTTTTGGAATTAGGTTGAGCTGGGTAGTTGCACCACATTGTGAATGTCCTAATGTGGACAGTGGTTAAGAATCCACCTGCCAATGCAGGGGACACGGGTTCAAGCCCTGGTCCGGGAAGATCCCACCCAAGTACCGCGGAGCAACTAAGCCCATGTGCCGCAACTAGCAAGCCTGCGCTCTAGAGCACGCCAGCCACAATTACTGAGCCCACGCGCCACAACTACCGAAGCCCGCGCGCCTAGAGCCCGTGCTCCGCAGCAAGAGAAGCCCGCGCACCGAGACGAAGAGCAGGCCCCTCTCGCCACAACTAGAGAAAGCCCGTGTGCAGCAGCAAAGACCCAAGGCAGCCAAAAATAAAGAAATACATATTTTTTAAATAAATAAAGTAAAATGAAATCAATAAAAAGAAGAATCACACAAAATTCAGTGTAGTGGCTTTCTCCGAGGCCAGAAGGGAGGGGCTAAAATCGGGTGCTCCAAAGGTGGAGATGATCTTCTAGTTCTTACCCAGGGTGGTAAGTACCACCCGGGTCTTCCTTTTTTTTTTTTTTTTTTTTTTGTGGTACACGGTCCTCTCACTGCTGTGGCCTCTCCCGTTGCGGAGCACAGGCTCCGGATGCGCAGGCTCAGCGGCCATGGCTCACGGGCCCAGCCGCTCCGCGGCATGTGGGATCTTCCCAAATCGGGGCACGAACTCGTGTCCCCTGCATCGGCAGGCGGACTCTCAACCACTGCGCCACCAGGGAAACCCCGGGTCTTCCTTTTATGGTGTTTCCTCATAATTTGCATATGTTTGAAAAATCG